ATCCGGATTTCGAGCTTACAGCTCATCATCAGTTTGAAGGAGCTCTACAACCTGATGGTGAGCTGTAGGCTCGAAATCCGGATTGTTGAAAACAACTTACTTTGAAAAGGAACTACCTTTTTAAAAAGATAGTACGTATGGATTGTCTGAGTTTTACACGCCATGACTTGGAGTAACAGAAGAAGTTCAGCGACTGCCGCGCACTGATTATATCCTTGACAGTCTCCTTTCATGTCAATGACCTACTGTTTGAATGGTAAAACTCGTTAAAAAAACAATGACGTTTATGTTGTACATGCTGAATTGTCATAGGGTCACTTATTCGGTCCATCTTCACTCGCGGGTTTGTCGGATTATTCAAGCGTTTCGGTATTGGGGCGTCTTCAGTGAGGAATTGTCTGTCACGGTTCAGCACGAGGTCACCGATTCCCAGACCAACACACATCATCATTTCTAATATATTTTGTAGTTGTGAAAAGTAGAAGTTATGTGTTTTAAACTTATCTTTGAATTTAAACATATAACCTGTCAGACTGATCAAAACACAATAAAAAACGATTATTTGGAGAACATGAGATGCGGTCTGGTGTGACATAGGTTTAGACAAACATTTTCTTTATCGTGCCAACGTTTCGATCTCTATTGAGATCATCTTCAGGGCTCAAAGTGTTTGTTTTCTGTGTAGATGTTTTATTACTGTGCGTCGAGAGTGTTGACACATCTATAGTCAAGTCTCGCGATCTCTAAATAATCTTTAAACTTTATTAGGCATGTTCTTCCTAATACTGGCATATTCTTAATACCACACAAAAACTGAAGATGGCGAAATGCCGAAACAGGTCTGTATTAACAAAAATCAGGAGGTCAGGCAGACCAAGATGATCGGTAACTATCAAGCAATATATTCTTAATAGTTGACGAACTAGCTATGGTTAAATTGATCCAAAGGGGTAGACTGTTTTTATATGCGATGTACAGCTGAAATAATTAAGTAGAAATGATAACGCCTCTGGTCATCGCGTCGTGCTGGGATTGTGTCGGTCTGGAAGAGGCTGACCTTCCAGGGAATGCACAACCAGGATTCCTCCAAGTCATCGACCTCGCTAAACCGGCAGCAACTAAATACAAAAGAGTGAGAATCTTGAGTGAGCATGACGAACGTTTAATAGAAAAAATATCTTATTTAAAAAAAGGAAAAAAATGATTTTTGTCAAATTATAGTAAGCCTTTTGGAAAGCGACCAAAATACGACGGCGATAACTTTTTCTCTAATTGACTTTCAAGTATAATCTTTATTATTAAAGAATAATATTTAATACTTGTAATGATTGATATTGTTATATATCCATGGATCATTGGGACCCTGAAATTTAAAGCGCTAGAATAAAATCTGCTGCTTTTTGGGCTAAAGCGATGTGTCCGACATGCGGAGAAAGGTGTTCCACATAACTGAAAGGTGTCACTCCTTTGCTCCATATAGGGAGCAAGTAGGATAGCCGCCCAATATAAGAATTGTGTTTGAGCATAGCACCGAATCTTTGGGTCCGCTTTCTCGATTTTGGGGGAAACAGGAAACGTTTTATTATTTGAATGTAGATATTTTTGTGTACCAAACGTGTGTTGAGAATGAAAGTATTTATTGGCGTGAATGTGTAGTGTAACTGGGCTGATGGCGGTTTTCTCAGTACCCCCATAATCAGGTTGGTTATATAGTTTATACCTATCAACAAAAATTAAAAAATTAAAATAAAATCTGCTCGAGACCGAACTGGATGGTCTTGCATACACATACACACGCGCGCGCGATTTTTACTAGTCAGAATGTCCGAACCGGATGAGATTTTCAAGAGATTTAAGTTTTTCACAGACATTATTCACTTATTATTCTTTAACGTTTACTGAAATGTACAATTTTGTTTAGTGAATATTTTATAATGAAAACCAATCAAATATTATTTTATTTGTTAAACCTGGTAAAGAAAATAAGACGAGGCTTCCAAATATCGGCCGATTAGCCTGGCTTTTTTACAGAATTTTTTCAGAAAAGCTGCTAAAAAATAGAATTAGGTTTTGGTTTAACTATCAAAAAGTTTAACGCACAGTATGGATCCATACAATAGAAAGGGACTATTGATGAACTAATGGTCAATCAAGGCGCAAGTAGATAGCATCAGCAAAATACAGCTGCTCAAATATTTTATTTAAATTTTCGAAAAATTAACTAACGGAAAGCTTTAACCTTTAACGAGGGCAGGTTACTAGTACAGTTGGGACATTCCAAAAGAAGTTCGAATATTAAATTTTAAGGATAATCTTCCGGCAAGTACACAGCACTAAAATTTAAGTCTAGTAAAAGCATCACTTCAATTGGAAATTATTCGATTGGGACTCGTTTAGAATTCAACCTAGAAAAATCTGTAATACTGAACGTTTCTAGGAAAGGGTCAAAAAATTAATTAAGCTAGTGGGAATATATGTGAAAGCGATTGATGAGTTTAGTATAATCAGAGTATGGATTTACAAAAAAAAAGACATTTACGTTTTAGTGGTCAATTGACCAAGTTACCTGTTTCAATTAATTATTCTTTTTATCTCAACCAAGACCTTACATAAAAAGAATAATTAATTAAAAGATACAAAAAAGACACTTAAAATATAAGAAAAACTCATCTAAAACTTGCTGCAGCAAAATCTGCCAAGGTATATTGGACGTTGGATAAAGGTATATGGTTTAAAGATGTGTGGTAAAAATTATTTACAAAGAGGTGATATTTCTACTCCTCACTAATGCAGCACTAATGTGGTGTGAAGCAATGAATAAGGATAATATGAAAAACATGGGAAATGTGCAGCGTAAACTGAATCATAAGAGATTTGGCTCGTGTCAAGGCATGCAGCGGTGGTTGTGGATAAAATGGCACCAATGACATAATGGTGAGTAAAGTAACAAACATTTACAACATGTGTGGTGTTTATTGACCGTTAGTTAATGATTAACTTTATTGCCTGAAGATGATCTCATTAAAGATCGAAACGTTGGCACGATAAATGAAATATTTTTCTAACACCTGCGTCACACCAGACCGCATCTCACCATCTCCAAATAATCATTTACAACATAGTTTAAAATATCTAGCTGTCGTGATACTGGGGGGTGAAACTGAAATTGGGACAGTTCAGAAAAGACGTGTTGCTATGAGGCAGTCTAAGGGCAGTCACAGTGTCATATGCCATGATTGTGGATCATAAAAAGCCCCTATTAGTAGCACCCAGCGTCAGAAACTTATGGGAATTTACGAGGTATTTTTGGAACATTGCACTTAAGTGAGCTCATAGAGGCCTCCATAGAAACGAAAGAGCAGACCAGTTGGCAAAACTAGCGTTGATGAAAGGATATCTATCACATTCTCTAAAATACTAGATTCCCATATAATATGGAATTCATATGACCATGAGGAAGAATAAAATATAGACGGAATAAAAAAATAAGTGTGACAGTGGATATGTCATAACATCCCAACCCTTCAGGCAAAAATTAACCAACCTGAGTTACGTCAAGAAAACAATTAGAACAAATGTGACAAACGTTTTCAAACAATTGACTGCTTAAATTGTTCATGTGGAAAAGGAGAAAAAACATGAAATGACTTACGAGTAAGGATTAAAACCTTAAAAATACGAAGATGACCGCTAGGATAAAGTTGTTTCTAAACATTTGTTTCTATTTTTTGGCTTTTTGGGTCTGTGAACTTACTTTTAAACATGGCGAAATGCCAAATGCGTCCAAAAACATACAGACAGTGAGAATAAGCAGGCCAGGATCGTAAGGACCAAACTGCACGTTCAACATCCTCATACTTCAAAATGTGAGCTTACAATATAACATTACTTTTCAACAAAACTTATGAGACTGCTAGTAACTCTAAACTGTACAAAACCAATCAACAAAAAGCACACCCAACATATTCATACAGTGAAATTTACAACCAAATCAGACTTAAACGTTCATGTCACAATTTTATAATGGAAAATTTGACTTTTCTTTTAATCGAATGTATGTAAAAGCGAAATGATGTTCTTAGTCTATTATTAACGAACTTGTCAATCGCATTTAATTTCAGGAATATTTTCTAAGCTGCATGTACTTAAAAGTTTGGAAATCATAAATCTGTACATAAACACAAGAAACAAAACAAAGTTGGAAATTACAGTCAGATTGAGTAGATAATAAATTTTACACCCTATATCTAGCTTAGTTCAAAGAAAAAATATAAATAGTTTTAAGCTGTAAGTTCATAAATATTTAGCATCAAATGCACTTATTCCCATTATGGACTGTTTAACAAAAAATTGCAATACCGATGGTTTTTACAAAAAATCTATACTCTATGCCCCTAAAGGGAAAACCATTTTGTGAAAGTGGATATAGAATTTACAAAGAAACGACCTAAGGGTTTTATTAGTTTTCTATGCAATTATTGATAGCCGTTTCTAATTTCACCTTCAATTATTAATTAAATTACAAAAATGTAGGAAGAAAATAACAAAGAAACTGTTTTATTGATGCATTTATAAAATAGAAATACAGCTCTTGGCTATGTTACTCAATTCCATTTGAACGTCATTTTGGGGTTTTCGTGGCATACCAAGAGCGAAAATTATTTTACAAGTTACCTTATACAAGAAACAATGATATGTATGTTGATATGTATTGTTTTATATATATAAAACAATGAAATATATAAGCAATGCTTTAGTCTTCGATCCGATCACAGCATCCTTGGAGGATGCAGTGGGCGTCGGAGCAAGACTGACGTAACGAAGAGCTAGTTTTCCGGTTTCCACTCATGTCAACAGACTATTCACATAATTTTACCTATAAGAATATCAATTTTGGCATTACAAAAATAAAATTAACATTAAGGAGCATCGTTTTGCTAGTTAAACCTCACACATGTTTCCGCTCTATGTTGAAACAAGAAAATTCTTACTGTTCTTACCGTGTTTTTGATGCGAACGGCTCACACCGGCCAAGAATACGAAGGAAAAAACTGTAGCGTAGAGATCAGAGAGCATTTTCGAAATTTTTGGAGGAGTCAAGACTCGAAATGTTCGGACTGACGCATGTCTCGACTTCTGCCCACCGTCCGAAGAATCCTCTCAGGGCACTGATTTTCATACACTCGCCAAACCGAACCGACCGCCGAGACGTCTTCTAAAACGGTAAACATATGCCGGAGTTGATTGACCTATTCACGGCAGCCGTCCACACTAGACTCACTAAAGACTATCGGCCGCTACGGAAAAACCGGCTGCCGCCCCTCCATATCGGTGCCTCCACCTCGTCTCTTCGCTCTAGTCGTACTTCCTCCCAAAAACAGGTAAAAACGCACTTCCTTCTACCTAATCTCAGACAAGATTTCCTATCGTGCTCGTAACTTTTTTTCGCCCCTGAAACATACCCCTTTCTTGCACCGGTGAAAGGTACATACAAACATGCGATAATCGCAGGGTTTGAACAGTTGCTCCTAAGTCTTAAGTCTTAAACAGCCTAGATCCTTTTCAAGAGTGTTAAAAAGTCAAATTTGCAAAAAACCAAACAATAAAAATATATCAATATCCCAAAAATACTTACAGCGGTTTAATCCAAACTAATCATCTCAGATACCATAGTTGCTTTCAAAACTCTTCTGATCACCAAAAAACGTGGATAGACCATTCGATAATCTTTTATTTAATTGACATATCATCTCCCGTCATACAGTCAGGCAAAATATTTATAATAAAGAGACAAAAATTTTGAATTAGAATTTAAAGGTGGGACCAAACATACGACGAAGCAATTCTGTTTCGTGTTTAAACACACACCGTAACTGTAACATCGTAACTTCGTACCATGACAGGGGTTTGCTATTGCTTGTAGGCTTGTTGTGTATCTTCTTAGCATCTTTTAGCAGTAAAGGTGCTTTAGTTTCAAACATGGACGGATTTTTCCCACCTATTATTATTTTCTCTCAATACTTCCTTTAATGTGTGGTGTTTAGTGACCGTTAGTTAATGATTATTTGGAGATCGTGAGATGCGGTCTGGTGTGACGTAGGTTTCAGAAAAACATTTTCTTTATCGTGCCAACGTTTCGACCTTTATTGAGATCATCTTCAGGCATGGCATCTTGGCAATTTTGTTTATATTAAACTACACTTATACCCTCATCCAGAAAAGTGTCTGCTTTACATTTTTGTAATTTTGTTTATAAATCCCAGGCCCTGAAGATGATCTCAATAAAGATCGAAACGTTGGCACGATAAAGAAAATGTTTTTCTAAACCTACGTCCCACCAGACCGCATCTCACGATCTCCAAATAAACTCCCTTTTATCTTTATTTTAATGAAATAATTATTTTAACCAATTAATCTTTACAAACTTCTGGGACTAAAGCTATTGATTGTTTACATCTGTATGTCACCTTTGACCTAATTTTACCGCTCTTGTCTGAGAATTATCTCTGCAGTTATACCCTCAAAATAGGCCTAATAAAAGACACAATAAAAGTGATCTATATCGGGAAATACGAAGCAAAAGAAAACACCACAATTACAAGCCAGTTGTAATTATTAATTAAACCCCAGTATAATTTCAGGTCAATGTTTTGTCTACGAAAAAATTACGATATTGTTATAACAAGTTTGTCAGGCCTTTTTCGACTTTATTCGCCAAAACTGCCAATTCTCGACGTTCAGAAACGTTAAATTCTATTTCCTTATAAGCACGGAAATTTCATTATTCGATTGCTTTGTCTTCACTTTTTTTATAGTTCAAACGCTTTTTACTGTCACATTTCACGAAACCCAGAACTAGTCAGAGATACTGATCCTTGCCTTGATAATAATTAATCGATCGGTTACTAATAAATTATTAATTATATTTCGATATAAGATGTAAAAAGTAAATAGACCAGTGAAAAAATAGCTGTTCCAATTATCTTAATTAATTTAATTTGGTGATAATCAATTGTTGGTTTTTTGAACTATAAAGCGGCCCATAGACGGACAATATTATTGTACAATATAGATTGCACAATAATTTAACGATTGCCCCTTAACGTTCAATAATATTGTACAAAATTTTGTTTGTGCAATGAACTTGAATAGTTTGAAGGCGATATTGAAGTTTGTGCAATATTTTCCACTTGTTGATACTTCACAAACTGACTGATATTGCGCAATAATGCCAACAGACGGTGCAATATTTTCCAGGTTGTACAATATATTTTCCACTTTTCGTCAATCATGCAATGTATTGCACAAACTTTCAATATCGTCTACACACGATCAATTAAATTGCACAACCCATGGGCCTCTTAACACCAATTATATTTTATTCCATATATTTCAATCGCTTGTGCATTCTATAGGAAAAATATAGTTTTATTCAGTTCAAATAATTTGAAGAGGGACCAGGGACGTTGCCCGAAATAAATAAGCAATTGAAATATAGAGCATAAAAAATAATTTTAGTTAAAAAAACCAACAACCTCGATTATAAAGTTGTTCCTTTCCACACAACAATTGAAAAAAACAAAATCATGAAAACTCTTTTACGACGGTATACCCTTTATTCGACCACTGAGACATTCGCCCTAATTGATTCTATAAAACTATTAAAAAAATATTTCTTTACAAAAATAGATGCAGTGGACAGAGAAATAGCTTCTATTAAATCTGAGGCCTATTATTGAAAGTTAAATTTAATATTAAATAATTTATTCGTTAATTATTACATTTGATATTTTCTAATTTGACATTTTTTAAATGTATTTATTATATATATTTAAATGTTTAAGACGTTAACAGATCTGTTGTTAAAAAATCAAATGCCAACTGAAAGGGCCAGACAACACAAAAGCGCCTGATTTCTTGATCTAAGGCAAACCGCAACGCTTGGAAGTTATGCGTAATAATGGAATCTAATTAATTCATGGTAGATTTATTTAGTAGGTATTAAAATAATGCACGTTGTTTTTCAATGCATTATACCATGTTTTTTTTGGGTTTTTTTTTTTGTCGTTTTTTAATGCTACCATGCAAATGAAAATGTTGAGATTTATCTAGAATAATTTAATGGGCTACCACTAAACAATGCTTGTTAATATTGAATTCTATGTATTACTTTTTTCTTTTTTTTTTAACTTTCTGCAAGTATTTGAAACAAAAGTGTAAAATTAAATCCACTGTAATAAATCGAGAATAAAAATAAAAAGCCATATAATAATTTGTCCCACTTAATTGAAGGGTGCGATTCTTTGGCTCCTTATAGAGAGCCTGAGGTAATGCAGTTGTGCATGAGCATGGCAGCAAGTATCTGGGTCCCGTCCCCAATTTTTTATTTTGTTTTATTATATATATTACTGACCTAGCATGTGTTGAGTGAATGTATTTATTAGCGTGAATGTTAGTGTGAGAGTGCCAATGACAGAATATTGAATCTCACATAGACTCAATTATTTTAGTTATGGAATAAGTTGATGATGGGAGTTTGTGAACTCATACCAAACTGGTGTAAGTTTATATTATATGAATATAATATGTAAAGAGCTAAGTAGGTCTATCAAGTACTCCACCATGCTGAGTGCGGTATATAAATAAGCAAAAATGTATTTAAGAGTGAGCGAATTGTGGATTAAGTTGAGGGCAGAAATGACCTAGCTGTTTGAAGCCCCCAGAGCCCAACTCGAGTAGCTGGACAGATAAGACCAATACTTTTTTTAAAAAGATAGTTCCTCCTCACAGTAAGTTGTTTTCGAACTTTCCGGATTTCAAGCCACTTAGCTCATCATCAGGTTGAAGGATTTCTACAACCTGACGATGAGCTAAGGGGCTCGAAATACTTAAAGTTGGAAAACAACTTACTGCGAGGAGGAACTATCTTTTTAAAAAAAGGATTGAACACCGCACTCACTCCATCATTCACCATTTCTACATATAAGACCAATGTCTGACCCCAAAGTGCTCCGGAATGGGTGATTCTCACAGCCTGCCAGTAATTTAAATTATGAAAGCTAGAATTGCCGGTGGACTCCAAGAGCTGATAGGCTCAACCCTGTACATGTGTGTATGTATGTACATACATGTGTAGATTTGAGCTTACATAAATCTTTTTTTTAGATGTCTTAAAAAGCAGAAGTATTAAACAAACAAAAAATAATAATAGATTCATGATGGCACTAGTTAATACATATTCAGAATAAGAAATAAGAAAATAAGAAAGCTTACATTATTATATTATAAGCTTTTAAGTTTACGTATAAGTATATATTCTTCAGTAAGGAAGTTTTTATTATATATTTATAGGGATAAATAGTTGAAGTATATATATTTATTTTTTAAACATCTTTTAAATTTTTACCTGTGAATGTAGTCTGTGCATTTATACACAAACAACTCAGCCCACAGGATTAGTTGAAAGGTAAACTTTTATATATCACTGGGAAGAAGAAAAAAAAGATGGGAGATAGGAAATGTTTCATTAGGAAATTAATCAGGTTTAACAAAATTGGATCTCATCCTTTATCATCTTCTCATCTTTTAAATTCTTAAAATACCAATTTAAGCAAAATTACTAAACATTACATTTTAATACCAATTATTCAAAGTTATGTACAATACAAATAAAAGAGAACATATTTACACTAGTACAATTCAGAGAAAAGCACTGTTCACAATTCTGAATGATTTTGGTGGTATTTATCCAAAGAAAGAATAAAGAATAAATGTAAATCCATAATAAAGTTTACTGTGTATAAATAAATATCACTAATTTTCTTCACATTACTTGAAATTTTGATTTTTTAATATCAGTTTAATGTACAACTAAATTTAAGGGAAATTATAAACTATTTCCAACGAGCTTTTTGAGTGGTAAAACTAAAGAGAACAAAAGAGGCGAATAAGAATAAATGAGCAATGATCTATTGGGAAGACTTTTTCTTTTAATTTATTGCAATCGTCTGCTCATTGTACTCTAATCAAGTTTTATTTACAAGACGAATTTCATACATGTAACTTCAGTTCATAGTTAAATAAAATCAGGCAATAACAAAAATATATTATGATGCACTTTCTCTGTTTAGATAAAAAGTATTTTTTCCAACTGAGAATCTTAGAAGGAGGTACAAATGGTATAAAATATTTGAGTATAAAAGAACCTCCTTCTAAAATGAAAGGTTTGCATTAATGGCTGATACCCCTCGGGTGTCTTTGTCTATTATTATGCCATCCCCTTCTGTTTCTATAATTATTACCCCTGTAGCCCCTGTCTCCTCTGTCATTTCTATCACCTCTGTCATTCCTATTATTACGATCGTTTCTATCATTCCTATCGTCCCTGTCATAGTAGTTATCCTGACTAGTTTCATCGTCGTCCCATTCCCTCGACCGATCGTCCTTGTCATCGTAAAAATTCCTTCGATCCTGCTGATTGAACTGGCCTGGCTGGTTTGGTCTGAACATGTCCGAATTAGGCATGAACAACGGAGGCGGCCTCATATTCTGCGGCATCGGAGGTGGGCCGTCCATGAAGTTGGTCTGTTGGAAATTGTTCGGCATCGGACTGCCGAAAGCCGAAGGGCCGTCTTGGAAGTTCATCTGGTTGCCTTGGTTGAAGTTGCCATGATCCGGGGGTTGACCCGGCCCCTGGAAATTTTGGTTTCCTTGCATACCAAAACCCTGTCCCATTGGAGGCGGGAAGTTTGGTGGCATATTGGTGTTTGGCGGAATGTAGTCACTAAATCTGGACACTTTGTGGCCTCTCCTGTCTACATCTTCATCCTTGCGATCTGAAATTTTTAAAATGACACCTTTTATCATATTTTCAGGTCTGATAACCATTATAAATTTCTTTTTCTTAAACCAACCATTCTTTCCCTCAGTAAATTGAAAGAAAATATTAATAAAAGTACATTTAATAATGTAAATTCTACCTGATTGAGAATGAGTTGTCTGGGTATCTGATGATTCCATAATAACACAGTCATCCTTTAAGTAAATGTAGAAAATAATTATTACAGTAATATAAGAGTAATAAAAGTTAAAACAATCAACAAATTAATAAGCAGTATCTACAGACAAACTTGATTTTTAACCGTTATAAAGCTCATTGGATAAACATACACACTTTTAACATTAAATTACCTGTTCATTGTGATCTGAATCGCTATCATCAAGATTGACTTGGTTATCATTATCGTAATGAGGGATAACATCACGCAGTTCTTTGACTGCCCCGGAGTTGAGATACTTCATAAGTTTTTCTCCTCCTTCAGAAATAGCTTTAGCCAATGTGGAACCAGCTAAAATAGGAAAAAATCAAAATTTTTTTGTATGCCAATGTTGTCAATTTCCATGCCACCATCATCCAAACAAGCAGTAAAAGGCGTGGTTAGGAAAACATGCATTGATATCAGGTACAGGAAGAACAGGGTAGGGTAACAGCTTTTAAAAGTGCCAAAGCTGTGGAATACCACTAAATCATGCAGATTTTATGGCTCTTACGTTCGACGGTCAGCACTTTTCCATAAATGTACAGTGCTTCGGGAACTAGATCTTTCACTAGTTTGACACCTGGCTGTTGCTCGATGAGCTGATTGAGAAGGGCTATTGGGTCAATTCCATCCTTACTGTCATCATCTAAAGACCAACTCTTTATTGTTAATCCCAATACATATTGATTTTTTTGTGGTTTGATTTCAATTAATAAAGTTTATATGCATATACAATTTCATTCCTAGTCCTTACTAAAATTATACATTTTTATAAATCTACACTCAAAAATAAAATAGTGTATTTTAATTCAAATATAAAAAATATTTGTATACATATTTTTAATTAAATCATTAATAATTTCCCTCAAAATGCATTAAAATATTCCAAAAGATTGAATGGTATTACTCTAATATTCATTTTGAAGGAAAAGAAATTTTTTGCAGAAATTAAAATCATAATGACAGTACATTTTAAGAAAAACTTACCCAAATCGTCCAATTTTCCAGTATCATTCCAATGCGCTTGAAAGTTTTTGGGTATAGGTTTAGAATAGGGTACCTAAAAGTAAATTAACCACATTTTATTTTCTTTAAATCAATCTTTTTTTTTTCTGGAAGTATTTCATAAGAGAAAAATCTGTCTGGGGCAGCCACACAAGAAAGTGCCAGTCAATTTGATAATGTTGTTGAAGTATCAAACAGCTAAAATTTGCGAGGAAGAATGCTTTGTAGTGTCAATCTTCCAAATTAATTTTATACATAAAGATAGGGATAAAAGAAGTACACCTCGTCCTGAGTAATCTAATGTGCTCCTCTTTTTTTTTTCTTTTTTTTATGTATATATATAAAACTCACTGGCCAGATTCAGGTTGTTAATCAGGTTGCTAACCTTGCCAGCAGCTCCTTAGTGTAAGATCTTGCTTGCAGCTTTTCCTCTCCAGCTACAAAAAAGAGAATGTGCCTCTTATCCTTGGGAATATCTGCACAGTGTTTCTTCTGTCTGTACTCTTATCCAGTGCATGTGCCTTCTTAGGTGACAGTGCCCTGTCATGAGTCCAACCAGAATCCTGGTTCGTTTGCGGTTGCCTTCCAGTATTTCCCTTGTGAGTTTTGTACTTCCCTTCTATGAATCTCTTCGCATGCCTCATCCCTGGGGTATTATTTATTCCTCCATGCTTTGGAATCATTATGTAAACCTCATTGGGGTTCAGGACCTAGAGAGTCCATGTTGACTCCCTCTTTGGCCAACATGTCAGCCTTTTCAATGGCTCTATGCCCCATATGCAAAGGGACCATCAGGTCATTGGGATCACAGGACCTCTATGCAGTTCCAAACACTCTTTGCCATCACCTCGTATGAGGTTAGGACCTTTAGAGCTGCCTGACAAGCAGAAAAGATGGCTATCTTCCAGGAATGTATTCATATCCTTTTTATTTCCATAATTAGCAGCTATTTTTTATTTAAATTTCTTTAATTTATTTTATTTTTAAATAGCCTTATGAATTTTGCTCATTAGCCAAGGAATAGGACTATCATATGTGACATGTATTTTTTTTTGGGGGGGGAGGTTGTGTTCCCAGGTGCAATGGTGGGAATCGAACTTACAATTGGGGTCCAGACCCAAAAGTCTATCACACTGATCACTTGGTTACTGTGGCCCCCAAAACCTTCTTAAAATATTAATTACGCAAAGAAAAATATATATTTATTTTGCAGATATGCCTTTTAGAGCCTGCAGAGACAGCAGTTTGTATATTTTACTGTAAGTAACTGAACGAAGGCAAACTAGGCAAAATTCCTCTAATAGTGGGCTTACAAAATGATGTACATTTTTATATTAAATTGCAATTTCTTTCTAAATGAATGTGTATTTTTATCCTTGTCTTTGATAATCTCTGTTAATAATTAAATTAATCTCTTAACATATATCGTTACAATTTAAGAATTAAAAAAATATAAATTGTACTTTGTAAAGTTTTTGGAAAATAAATCACATTACCTTTTTAGATTGGGCTTTGTTTTTGTCATCAGTTGAGATATCAATGTCTTCCAAGCCTGGGATCGACCCTGGTGTCAGACCCGGCAAAATCGAGGCACTCAAGTTAAGGTCAACCTTGTCTTCGGGGCCCATGCCAGGGATCACCGAAGTGACGTCCTCTAACAAAAACATAGGATGGAACATATTTCAAAATCAAATAACTATCAAACACACCGATTTCTTGCTCTTCAAGTCCGGACATAGATGCCGGAAGCGTGTTCAGGTTGTACTTGTCTCTCATGGAATCCCCAGGACGGTTCCTAGTCCAGAATTTGCTAGTGTGGTCATTGCTACCGCTACATAAGATATGGCCCATTGGATGCCATGCTAAAGTCCAAACAATACTGTCATGCGCTTGTTCTATAGCACCAACTTCCTTTTCAGCGCTAAAAATAAACCGTGAATAATGTAAACTTAATTAGTTTTAACAAGGTAGACTTACCCAACGTGCCAAAACAGAATGGCTCCATCTGAACCACCACTGCAGAACAGACCTTCATGTGTGGGATGCCATGCCACACTACTCGACTCCTTCTTGTGACCTCTGAACACCTGCACCTCTGTGTTTAAATTTCTAATATCGAACAGTTTGAGAAGGTGATCCCTGCTGGCAGTGACAAACCAGTTCCCGTTGTTATTCCATTTGACATCCATCACTGTACTCTTATGAGCATGTCTAAAAATAAAAATCCTTTTGGTTAAAAAAATCAATCCTTATAAAGAAAAAATAAGGTAGAACAGACATTGTCGCTAAAGAAGTTCCTGTTTTCGGATCCCACAACTTAACCGGCTGCTGGTTGTCCTTACTTCCCGATATAATCAGTCCTTTCTGTGGATGCCAATGGACACATTTGACATCAGCTCCATGACCTGTTTACAATAAAAACGCAAAATAGAAGAATTGAAATACACCTTGTTACTTCGAATAGACACCTCTTAAAGTTCTTTCCTCCTGGCATCTATAGAAATCCCAAACTTTTATTGTCCCGTCATCAGAGCAGGAGGCAAACTTACTATCTGTTGGGCTGAAGCTGAAATAAAAAGTATGCTTTTTTTAATGAGCATAAATATTTCAATAAAACATTTTCTCATTTTTCTCTAATTTGTTTATGAACGACTACTTTTTTCAACACAATATTCCTCGAGCACTCTCATCCCTTTTACTCCCATTATCAAAATAGTTTTAACTACAGGATTTTAGGAAAAAAGCTATGTTATTTAATAAGTTCTAGTTTAATTTTTTTACCCTAAAATATAAACAATTAATTAAATTATTTAATTGGCTATCTGTTTATTATTATTATTTTAAATTTTTACGCAAAGATGGTTGAGAAGAAAAATTTAGTGACATGAGTAGGACTCGAACCCACGACTTTCGGCTCAATACGCTGGTGCTCTAACCACTCAAGCTAACGTGACATCTTTCAACCGGCTCATGATATTCATTTTTCTTCTCAACCATATTTGCATAAAAATTAGAATTAATTAAATATTAATCATAAGATTAACAAATAATAAGTTTAAATGTTTGTAAAACATTGATAATCATTTGTCGGTGTCCTTCATGTTGGCTTTAGCATAGTTACTGCCAATTAACAAATATTAATTGATGATTATTGTTACATGACTCCCATCAGTTTCATTTTCTACAAGGAAAACTAAAATGTACAGATAATCAACAAGAAAAACTTTTTAAAAAAATAATGGATTGTTTAAGCCTTTGAAATAATCTGTACTGATTTAAGTCCTTTAAGAATACTTTAAATAATATTAAAAAGATTATAGAACAAATAGACACAGTGCATGACATTTGCGAGGAACTGTTACTTTATTATATCTACCTTCTATATGTTACATTTTTATCCTTGTACACAGTTTTTTTTAGATTTTCTTGAAAGTACTCTTGTATAACAAGTGTATTAAACTTTAAATAGCAACTAAACAAAGCAGAGCAGTTTAAGTAAATTAAAATTAGATTTCTGTTCTAAAATGTGTAAAATTAAAGATTTTCCAAGTTCTTGTTTATCGCTCTTACTAAACATTAACTATTTAAGTATATGTTATTTCTAAAGCAAATTTCCTTTTGTATTTATAATGTAAATATATCTTTTTTGAAAACAGTCTGGTAAATATTAGCATTATTTGATAAGAGACAGTATTTAAGGAGATATAATGCATTTAAATATTAATAATTAATGATCTCAGTATGATTTATATCAGCCTTTAATATTGTAATCTTGTACTGAAAAATCAGGAAAGGCCCATTTGAAAAATAAAAACAAGTTCCTTCTTATATTGTCATTTTTGACCGTTGAATTGATACATTCAATCCATCAAAACATTTTTATTAAGTTCCTTCATCAAGCTTTCAAAATAAATATCCTCTTCAACAGGACTTAGACACTGTTATTAATATTTTACTACCAGGCTAATTTTATTTGTTATTTGGTGTAAGCTAGAAAAGAACTATGTATGTATTTTTTTAAAGGAATTAATTTTTAAATCTTGTTTTAACATGTTTTGTCTACATCTTATTCCAGACACTCCGATAAAAGAAAAAAAACGTTCCAAAAGTGCTTGCAAAGAATAAAAAGGAGACAAAACATCTAGTTCTTTTCTGGCTAAAAGATCCCACTCTAAACCATCGCTAGTATTTGTGAATTATTAATGATAGATTCAAAATACTGATAAAGGGAATAAATAATGAAAATACTGCTTGAAAAAAAACGACTGTTTTTCTTTCAAACTGGCCTTATACCTGATTTTTTGAATAGAAAAAACAGTAATAGCCTAAAAAAACAAGGCGATTCTTGTTTCAAATAAACTATTATTTTTAATCAAATATAATTAAAATGTTGTTCTTTCAAGAATAGTTCTGTTGTCAGTATTAGAAATATCAACCACTTTTTCACTCATGAACACTTCAATGTATGGTGTTTGTTCTTCAAGACCATACCTTGATCCAGAGTGTTCATGAAGAATAGTTCTATTTACTTTTGAATATGTTGGATAGTATTTATTCCATGTATATCACATTTATACAAGAGGCATACTAAAGCTCACGAAAAATCAATTGAAAATTGAACTAGATATTTGTGTCGTGTTAATTCCTTTTCTCTCTCTTTTTCCTTTTGTACGATCCGTTAATTGTTACCATCGGAGGACCATGGTGGCCGAGTGGTGAAGGCGATCGACTTATTTGCCATATGGACGGTTCTGGGGTTCTGGGTTCGAATTCCAACATAGCACACGGCTTGACCATCAAATGAAAAAATTATTGAAATCCGCACCCCTTGCCCACGACCCCAAACAGGAAGTCGGATGTTAAGCCAAATTAACATCATTGCACAACTATGATCAGCTCAAGATAGGATAAGATATATATTTTATACTCTTTTTTTTTTTTTTTTTTTTTCAAAAATAATCACTACATTCACTAATTTCGTGGTCCGCTTGGCAAAAAGGAGGGAAAATTCAAAAGGTGGGGTTGAGATGGGAAGTTAGTGATCGAGGTCACAATAGCTCAAGTGGTAGAGCAGCGGTATATCAAGCCGAAGGTCATGGGTTCGAATCCCGCTCGTGCCATTGACTTTTTTATCTCAACTAAAAACCTTAATTAAATGTAAAATAATCACTAGTATGAATCCAAATCAAACGATAATTTGTGTATAACCAACTGTAGAAAACTAGTTTTAGTAGTTGATGGTGAAATGGGTAGATACCCGCACGGGTTGCATGTATTATGTACAAATGTACTACACATCGTACACTATATGCTCATAATTGTAATAAAGTTGTTCAATAAATGAGACAAGTTTTGAAAAAACTTTTTCTTTTTGTAAAGTACAATTGATTTTTTACTGTAATTGACATAAATTTAAAAAAATGGTTTTCTATCTTTGTTGTGCACATATTTCAAGTTGTTATATCTGTCAATTTTTTTTCTACCTAGTATATGAAAATAATATGTAGAATATATTAAATGAGAATAGAAATATAAAAAGTTATAAAAAAAGAATACAGGTTTTCATGAAAGTAGGCCCAAAAAATTGTTTTAGATTTTTAAAAATTTGCTTCAGATTAATCACCATTTAAAGTCCTTAAATACGAATTTTTATAGATAATTAAAAATAGACATTTCTGAACTGGATTAGGTCTTTTTTTTTTTTTTTTTTTTCCCAACCAGACACCATGTGTTCCACTTAAAAATTCATAACTCCTCTGGATTGTATCCAAAGTTGAAAATATTACAACCACTAGAAAGCTACATCTCTCTTATTGGGCCTATATCAACTGCCTTTGAATATAAAACTCCCTTTTTTTATTTATCGAGGCCAGGCTTGTGCCATTATGTGTAGAGTTTATAAGCTCCTAAACTCCTGTAAAGTTTCCTGTGTATCGTTGGAGTCAAACCAGTTTTATAGTTTTGGGGGGGAAGGGGGAATTGAAGATATCTGAAAGGTAAAAAATTTTGATTTCCCAAAACCGAGTTTTTGAAGTGCACAAAAATCAACTACCAAACTTTATTTCTCACTAAAAAATATGCACTACCTACTTTGCTACATCGCTTGGTCACAAAATAATTATGCATTGTAATTCAATAGATAGCTCAAGTTGCTCGACCTTAAATTGTTTCATTTAAATAATTACAAAATAGGTGTAAATTTTTTCCAAGCTAAAATTTAAGCGTTCTAATGGTTGTAATAATTGAATTAAGCCCCAGAGATGTTATGAAGTAGAGCACTAGACATCGGCCAAAAAATATATACTTTTTGCGATGAAAATTTATATTTAAGGTTTTAAAGGGCGTTTAAAATAAATCAAATTTTGTTTCTCCCAAACAAAAATGTGTTTTTGGCTGACTTTACAAAAGGTGGTTTTTTATGGTTTTGGTTTTTATAACATTTTATTATTGTAATATCATTTAATATGTTTCTGCTTATTATTTTCTTATGTTCATACATTTAAAAGATCTAAAGATATACTTAGAAATACATACACAAGAAAGGCAGAATATCATATTTTAAAAAATTATTCCAATTACTTTAAAAAATATAAATAAATAATTTTCTGATTCCTAGGACCTATCATTTGTAAGTACGTTCCAACAATTTTCCAATATTTTTTGACAATATGACGAAAAAAGTTTCATTAAAAATCATTGATCTCACTTTCATAGCCTTCCCATGTAAGTTCTGGTTATTTTATTTTTATACGGAAAATGCATTTCTACTAAGTTTGAAGAATTATTTTATTTATAATTGTTTGAAAAATATTTTCATAGATGACCATATCAAAAAACCAAAATGTAACATTTCTGATTAATGTTGAAGTATTAACAAGTTTTCAATGCTAAAATAAAAATTTTGTACTATAATTTCAAGACTAACTTGAAATTTATTTCAGGAATCCAAATCTTTAACTTTGATTAAACCCAGAGCTTTTTGAAAACACATCAAACTTTTGTCGATTTAATGTTGCAATCAATTTGGTAAATGTAATTTGTTTAACAATAGAGTCGATTGATTTTCAAAACCCAAAAGTCATTTTTTGTTTCCTATCCTTTGAGCCGTATCAATTATCTTATAAGCGACCAGGGTTTTAAGATTAAAGTAGATGTAAAGTGTAACCACGGGTCATCCCACATTACATCAACTGTATTTTCATCCAATTCACACACTGTCAAAATAACACAGGTTTCAATAATTATTTGTGTACTTCAAAAGCAAAATTTATTGCCCTTAGAAAGTACAAAATCCATCTGGAACAGTCACAACAACCAATTCTCTCCACTCTTTTTATTATTTAAAGAAAAAAAATCCACATTATCTCTTATAAAAAGTAATGAACACATTTCTCCAATCACAGTTTTATCACAGCTTTTATTACATTCCTAGATTCCAGCGAAATTAATCGTATAGGAGTCAGGGGAGTCCTTTATTTATCATGATATACAATTATTTTGTTAATGGAATAGGAAGGAAGCAAGGTTCTCTTTATTCCAATACAAAAATACCTTCTTTTTTTTTAAATAAAAAAAATATCATCGCGGCTATTATAAGCATTTTGATTTTGTAATTTCGTCGCATTTTTCTCACTATAATAACTATTTTGCATGGGCTTAGATAGTGACTTGAGGGAAGTTTTGTGATATAAGACGAAGTGTACCTGATGCCTCGTATCGCTTCCTGGTGGGCCATAAACATTTTCACATTGTTCATATTCGACTGCCAGTATTTTACAAAGCCAGTATGGTCAGCGGTCACCATCCACATTTCATTGTGAGACCATACCATCGTCCTTACCGGCGTGTCATGAGCCTAAAACAAAACAATCAAACAAAAGACATTATTTGTTAAATGTATCGACCACTTTTCTACTCATGAATAATTTTCGATTGTGGTATTGACTTGAAAAAGCAAATAAAATTGTTACTGCCAAAGCTTTCGACCTATTTTAAGGTCATCATCAGGGCAAAACAATCATAAATATATCTACAAAATAGGTTGAAAGCTTGGCAGTAACAATTGAATTTGCTTTTTCATCAAAACCATACCGTGATCTAGAGTATTCTTGGAAAAAAAAAAAAAAACATTTTATATAACATATATATGTTTAGCGGTCATAATTGGTCATATTGATTATTTTAATTAATTATTCTTTTTATTATATATAATAATAATTCAAGAATAGAATTAAAAATTGTAATTAAAATTCTTTGTTTTTAATCAAAGACGAGCTTGTAACAATTTGTAAAAACAATTAGCTTGACAGTAACAAGTAACTTCAAAAGACAAGTAGTATTTTCCTTCCCAAATTTGTAAATCTGCTAATGAACCACCATAAAAAACAACGAATTTTTTACAATAAGAAACAATTTATCACTTAACAATGGACTATTCATTTATAGAATCGTTTGAAAATTACTAACTGCAACACAATTATTTGCATTATTTCAAAAAAGAATAACTACTACTAAAGTACAGCCTGATCATTCATTTTCGTCCTGTATTGACTATTCTCAGTTTGGCATTAATTTGCCATCTTCAGTAGTCAGTCGTGACAAGCCGGAATTACAAGGGACCACAAAAATAATTCGAATTATCAAGAGGGAAGAAAAAAAAAATTGTTAAGGGTTGATGTGCATTTTTCCAAGTGAGTACTTAAATTGTACATATATAAAACAGTAACAATAACAAAAAAGCAAAAATAGATCAACTGTAAAATTGAACATTGTTATGATTATTAAAAAAATGGTAAAGTGGTTTTTGTTTTAATGTGGCCTGGCGTCTTTCTTTAAATGATTTTCCGAACAGACCAGTGCTGAGAATATATTGACAAAACACTGACTGCAAACCATAAAAAAATGAGACAAAATTTTAAGATACTTTAGGCTGTAAGTAAACAATACATGTAAATTTATAGGAATATAACAAAGAAAAAGTGCAAATTATAAAGATAGAGAGCCTCCATTTTGATTAATAGCATGCATTCCCCCCCTTGTTATGAAAAATATTTCATATTAACGAGTGTATCAAAACGCACAGAATTTTTTTGATTGGCCGAAGTGACCTGTTGAGGATTATGTATTATCGAGATATTCCAATTAGCAAATTTTGATTTAACAAGACAACTGTATAACAATGGAACTCTTTTTTGTGAATGTGTTCAGGCCTGGATGAATTACAAAACACAATTGTACTCACAACCAATTCACACCACAAGAATAGCACCACACTTTATGCCTTGAAGATGACCCGAATAAAGGTTGAAACGTCGGCAAAAAAAGAAAGAAAAAAAGTGTTTTTCTAAACTACCTCATTCTTGACTGCTACTCACAAATCCAAAAAATTGTATATAGAACATAGACAACTATTCAAAAATATATAGAATGTCTAATTCTATATTTTTCAATTAGCATTTACACAAATACAATCAGTGTAGTTGTAATTACTGAATTCATACGACCTATAAATTTATTAAAATTGTAGCACTTCTGAAGCTCTGACCAGCTTCTTGCTTTTCATCTTACTTCCTCCTCCCCTCTTCAGTCTGTAACCGATCTCCCACATGATGCTGATTAGGGACTTTTTTTAAGAACAGTATTTATTTAAATATTCCACAATTAAAATTGTTTGTGTACAAATGTAGAAAGAAATTAAAACAAAATCTGGTAATTAAAAAAATAATACAAAAATAAAATAAACAAACTACCACTAGAATGCAAAGAATCAACCAGTGATGACCCTTCTAAGCAAAGGGATGGTCTCACTGCCTAACAGGTCGCCAGGCCATTGCCGCTTTAATCTCCTGGGAGGATTAGTGAGAAGCTAAGGCCAGAACTAAGTGATGGAGTGTAATGAAAGGGATTTGTGGAATTTTGTGTACCGGGCTTCTTTCATATGGGTCAAATGGCATCTTTCTTAAAAGTAATGTTAAGGTCATTATGGATTGTATAATTCGATGCCTAGAAGGGAGCGTTTACTATTTTTTGGAGGATTTTATAATGGGAAATTTATATGCAATGGTAGTTGGAATGTTTGATTAAACTGCACAGTTTAATACGTGATGTCCAAATGGGCTTTATTATTTTATTATTTATATTGTACCTCATTTGTTATGAAGCATCAGTTCTAGTGTAGACAGTTCCTGCTTAGAAATGATGAATGGTGGAGTGAGTGTGGTGTTCAATCCTTTTTAAAAAGACAGTACCTACTCACAGCTTATCTGATGATGAGCTAACGGCTTGAAATCTGGAACGTAGCAAAACAACTTACTGGGAATAGGAACTATCTTTTTAAAAAGGATTGAGTTCCTGCTTATGTTAGGCTTGTACATGGATTCCAAGTTAGTATTTGTTGATGTACAACCCAAGGTAGCAGCGGAAAGGGTTAACTGAGGGCTGTACAATGGGAATAAATTTATATTGAAAATTAGTTTTTTTTAAGGCTTAATATGTGAAAATTTTGTTTTAAATAAAATTTACAATTAATGACATTTTGATGATCCATTGCCATAATAAGACCTCCAAAAAAGAAATGTTCATCTGCCAAAAGAAAAATGGACAACAATAATGAACAAAAAATAAATAAATTTATATGTTGTATAAGTTCGATAATTATAACCCTACACTGAGGAAATATAATTGCAACCCTACATGGTGAGAGAAAAATTGGATTAAGCAGTAATTAGAAATAGAAAGACATAACGAGTAATATGTGTAATTTATTTGTAATTAATATCAAGAGCCAGAAAAAATATGTAGTACAATTTATTTTTTTTTCTATGCAGAACGTTCTAAAAAAGCAATTTAACTGTGCTCATCAAAGGCATTGGCAACATGGGCTTGCTTTAAAGTAAGTTTTTTCAATTAATTATTCTTTTTATGTAAGGTTTTTTTTAAGATAAAGACGTCAGTGTCATGAGCTTGATTCAAACCCACGACCTTCGGCTAGATACGCCGCTGCTCTACCACTTGAGCTATCGTGTCTTCGATCCACTCGGACACCAATTCTCCATCTCAACTTACAACCATTCGAATTTTCCCTCTTTTTGCCATTTTCAAAACCTTACATAAAAAGAATAATTGATTGAAAGAAGTAACTTGGCCAATTGACCTTTAAAACATAAAATTGATTAATATTTAAAGTAAATTCACTATTTTTCGTGGTCTGCTTGACCAATTAATAACATTCAATTAATTAAGGTTTTAAGTTGAGATAAAAAAGTCAGTGTCACGAGCGGGATTCGAACCCACGACCTTCGGCTTGATACGCCGCTACTCTATCACTTAAGCTCCGAGGGAATCTAAGTCACGATAGCTCAAGTGGTAGAGTAGCAGCGTATCAAGCCGAAGGTCATGGGTTCGACTCCCGCTAGTGACACTGACTTTTTTATCTCAACTTAAAATCTTAATTAATTTAAAGTAAATGTTTATTTTTTAGCCACGACTACCAACAGTGAAGTCATTTCAGCTCTCCACACTTTGAGGGCAGATGGGGTACTCAATATTCACCCGTTCACACAACACTCTCACCCACATACACAATAATTTAATTTAAAAATTCCACGTTCAAATTATAGATATACATTTATGTGTGGAAAAACACCAATTTTCCTTAAGAAATAAAACGGGGGGGACCCAAAAATTGACTCACATGCCCGAGTATCTTCTTCATGTCAGAGCTCATACCTACTCGCTTCGTATAAAGGGCCAAGGCTCACTCTTGGATCAAATGTGACATCTGAGCAACCTTTCTTTGCAAATGGGACACTTGCGCGAGTTTAGGCCAAGAAGCAGGTCCTATGAGTTGTACAAGTATGGATCATCAATCTGGCTAATTTTTTTTTTTTTTTTTTTTTTTTTTACTTCTCAGAAAGCTAACAATCCGTTGTGCTCTAGGCTTGCAAGATTCTCAGATGACCAGATTTTTTCATTCACATTTTTCACTTAATGCATGTTGATCAATAAACAATGCAACAGAATTTGGAGGGAAGAGTAGGGGGTCAGTCAGAAATTGCAGGGGTAACAGAGTAACCGAATTCACGACTACGGGGACCTATGGGCTGAGAGTCTGATGTACTAACCGCTTAGCAATGCAGTCCCCATATTATTACAATAAGACACACATTAAAATGAATTTTTCGTGCCTTGATATGATGCAATTGCATGGTCAGACTAATAGAACATCAATTTATTCAATTTGTTGTCCCAGGTATGATTCCCAAATGATACTACTGGAATGTTCTTGGACCATTTCAAAATGTGTGAATTATATTGAGAAGATACTTGTTTTTGTTTGGTCTTGGTGTTTTTGGAAGGAAAGAAAAAAACCCCATTTGTAAATGTCATGTTTGAATTCAGGGCTGCTGGATTTGAACCCAGGACCTTTACCTTACAGTGATGAGCACTGTGTCGCCTAAACCATAGCAGCCACACGCAACCCTAAAGGTAAGCACGCACTAGGATTCTTTGAATCTCCGGAGAGTCTCGGCTGCATCTAAACTGAGTCAAGGTTGCCCCGACTCATTGCTGCAATGAATCTGGTGTGTTGCGGGCTAGCATTTTCGGACTCTTTTGAATCCCATCCAATGTGGGATTCTTTGACTGTTGCAAAACATTTGCCAGTGCGGACGTAAATCTTGCTTCATTTGTTAAGTTGACGTTGTAGTGTTTTCTTGAAGATTTTGATAGTGTCTTGTATAAAGGTATGTTGTGGAGTACCGAGTTGACTTTACAGTTTATTGAAAACATGCATTCCCATTGGTGTTTGTGGGATGTATACATTCATGGCATGTGGCAGCTAATCTGTTGGCCGGAGAGATAGATTCCCGAAAGTTGGTATCTTTCTTGGAAATTTGACTGCCAACTTTCATTAAAATGGTTTCGAAATCGGCCTAGGACATCCTCAAAAAAATTCTGTACTCTGCGCCATCATTTAATCTCAACGTGTCCAAAAGATTTTTCCCGTCGTGAAATATTTGTCGAACCCACCATCTCTTTGAGCTTTTTTTAATGCACTTCTAATTAGATGCACTATGAGCAATGCAAAAAATAGCAAGGGAAATTCCCGAGAGAGCTAGTTCCTCCATCACTTTTGCAAGCACTGATGAATGTGAACTGAATCTTGATCTGGACACGGTTCTTTGTCGCGGAGCAGAGTCGGGGCTGCATCAGAACAATGAATCTACGCAGCCCCGACTGTCCCGCAACATGAACCGATTAAAAGGATCCCAGTACGTACTAGGCTTAAGCTATTTGTTAAAAGGTCAGATTGTCATTCTGACAATCAAAAAGGGAACAATTATTTCAATACACATATGTGTGCAAATAGAGAGTAGCACCTAGAAGGATAAAGGAAATATTACATTTGTTATTAATAGAAATTAATCAACAATAACAACCTGAAAAAATTCAATTAAGACACAGAGTATACATACAACATGAAAAATTTAAAAACAAAAAAAGGAATTTCTTTACAATCTCGTCTTATAAATAGCTCTAAAAGAGAAATTGTAAAATTAAAACCAATAAATGTGACATTAAAAAAAGAAAATATTTTTTCAAGGAAAATAAAGCGTTCCAGATGCCAGACCTGAAGTATCGTCTCAAAGTTGAATGTCAAACCGTTCCAAAGGGTGAATTCACCAGATGAAGCACCCGTAACGAGCCTCCTGCCTTCTGGTGTCCACGCCATACAGAAGATTGGGCACCTCATCTTGTTTGTGGCCGTTTTGACGAACCTTGTCGTGACAGCGTTAATCGGATTATCTTCATACGAAGACGGTGGCATCAGCTCGGGTATGTACATCGCGTCCGGCTGGAGGCTCCGTCTGTCTCTGTAATCCCTCTGCCAGACCCTCGCCTTGAAACAATTGATGACATAATTAATCAGAGAGAACAAGAACGACCGAGTCGAAAGCTTACTTCGAGCATTTTTATTATCGCAGCGTTATAATCGACTGTTTTACGCATAGCCGATTTCCTTAGTCTTTTACCGTCGAACTCGGGGTCGAAGACAACGGGCCCGTTCCCCCCTTGCCTGTACGCCCTGAACGGCTGGAAGAAGTTCTGCCGACCAGGGTGTGTGAAACGCTGGTTCTGGTTTGCACCGGCATTCGGCATGCGGTTCATCCCCTGGTTCATGTTGGGCATCTGCGCGTTCGGCGTGATCGTGATCATTTTGATTAATCCTGTAAAACACGATACAATTCAGACCGTTAAACCTAAAAATCCCTGAGTTTATTTTTAATCGAAATAAAATCAAATCTAAAAGGACCCCTTTCACTACACCCCTAAAACATTCTACAAGTTATTAAAGCATAACAAGGCTAGTAAAATTCAATTGCCGTTACCTACTTAAACCTGAACGATTATGGTATAAAAAGAAGTGTTATTGAGCTCCTAGAGTGAGAGGAATGTGTTATTTATTGATTTATTTTAAGGGCTTTGCACCATGGCGCTTGTCGTTTAATTCAGAATCCAGTTACAATCGACAATTCGAACGTTTATTTCATAGAGCTTTTTTCACTAAACGGACCACGGTCAAATCGCCATTTTTTTCGTGGCGTAAACTATTCACACTTGACGAACGACCTGACGTTCACCGAAACCCGAACTCATGAACAAAGGTTAGCTTGGTGGCGGAGAACAGCAACGACGAATTAGTTCTTAGTTGTGACGTAGCTAACGTCACGACGAACATGAACAACATCTCTTATTTCAAATTATGTACATAACATATATACAAAATAATTCTATAAAAGCAAATTGTTTAACTGAAATGTCTCTTTAAATATTAACTGTGTTAAATATTATCAATTTAAAATAAACGGATAATAATATTTTATCATAACATATTGCAGGAACTACACAGAAACAATTTTTTCAATCCATTTATTTGGTTATTTAGTTATTAAATACAAATTGTATTCAGATTTATTTCACATCAGCTGATACTACTTAATAACTTGCTGTAATTATCAACCAAGTCACACAAACAATAAAGGAAAAAATAGATTATTAAAGATACTAAACTTGAACCTAATTGTTACAATCAATACAAAATGGAAAATTAAAATCGAAAAGTTGAATATAAAATAGCCAAATCTAAATTAAACTATAAAAGTTGTTATAAAAAATGGAAAAGTGGAAATTAAAATGGAAAAGTCAAATTTAAACTGGAAAAAGATGAATATTAAATATAACAAAAATTAACGTTGTGGGTTCCTGGTCACAGCGGCATTGCTGGAAATGAGATTGCGGATAGGGCAGCCATTTCAGGGCAGTTAGTGAGAGAAGTTGCAGGCAACGATTATATTTCAAATATAAAATCAGAAATCTGGTATAGATGGGGAAAAGACTGGCACGATGTTGGGGAAAATAAGCTTAAAGAAATAAAACCAACAGTTAAACCTTGGCCAAGTTCAATCAGGACTAACCGTAGGGAAGAGGTGATACTCACAAGATTACAAATTGGCCACTGTAGGATTACTAAGAGTCATCTAATGGCTAGAGAACCACCCTTTGTCTGTCCTTGTTGCAATGCGATTATTACAACAAAACACATTCTTCTGCACTGTCCAATCTACTCAGCCTACAGACATCACATCACTTATCCTCAAACCCTCTATAATATACTAAAAGACGATCTGGATACCATAGATGAACTTTTCCAATATCTTAAGACTGCTGTTTTAATGAACAGGATATAAATTAGTGTGGCCTTTGCCGTTTGTATGAGCGGGGGGGATTGTTCCCTGGGGGTGGGGGCTGGTGGTCGGACGCGGCGGAGGGTCAAGCGCTTTGCATATGGGTAAAAAAGAATACCCCGGCTCCTGAGGGATGTGGATGTTCACAGCCCATGCACATCCTTTCTTAGTAGCCAAAACAACATTAGTTCAGCTTCAGCGATAACATCACGCTGTTTATATAGTGCTCGTCCCTCTGTAATGCGGCTGGCCCTCCGGGCCTCCTCCTCTCTGGGGCCATGGCCCCTCCGGTTTGCGCGGTGGGGAGGCTGCATTAGTGGATGCTATAAAAGGCAGCTATGACCCTTAGTGGTTTTATGCCTTTTAAAAATTAAAAAAAAAATATTTTAACGGATAAGAAGGTGTATAAAAATGCAAAATTGGAAATTAAAATCAAGAAGTTGAATATGGTATGAAAAAGCCTAAGTTAAACTATAAAAAGTTGTTATAATAAATCCATAAGTGGAAATTAAAATGGAAAAAGTAGAATATTAAATGGAAAAGACAAATTTAAAGTGGAAAAAGTTGAATATTAAATTTTTAAAAATTTAATTAGAAACATTTGTTATAATAAACTGAAAAGTGGAAATTAAAATGGAAAATGTTGGATATCAAATGGAAATGACAAAATCAAACAACAAAGATCAACCAATTAAATTAGCAAAGGTTTTTATCAAAAATGGGAAAGTTGAAATTAAAATGGAAAAAGTTGGATAATAAATGGAAAAGTCAAATTCAAACTGGAAACGGTTCAATATTAAATTTTGAAAAATTAAATTAGAAAAAGTTTTTGTAATAAGTATAAAAGTTGAAATGAAAATGGAAATGTTTAAATTAATTTAGAAAAAGTTGTTCTAATAAATGGAAATGTTGAAAATAAAATGGAAAAATTGAATATTAAATGGAAAAGTCAAAATTAAACAAGAAAGACCAATATTCATAAAAAATGAAATTATAAAAGGTTTTTATCATAAATAGAAAATTATTCAGAAATTGTGAGATGTGGTCTGGTGTGATGAAGCCAACGTTTCGATCTTTATTGAGATCATCTTCAGGGGCTGGGATTTACAAAATTTGTTTACATTTAACAAATACATTTAGGATGTGGAAAAGTAATCTAATCACCACACATAAATGAAAAAGTCAATTATTTATCAGAAATACCACACAATGGAAAAGTTGAAATTAAAATGAAAAAGTTGGATATCAAATGGAAAAGTCTAATTCAAACTGGAAAAAGATCAATATTAAATTTAAAGATTTAAATTTATTCAAATTTAAATTAGAAAAATTTGTTATAATAAATGAAAAAGTGGAAATTAGGATGGAAAAAGTTGAATATTAAATGTAAAAATAAAAATTAAAGTGAAAAAAGATTAATATAATTTAAAAAAATAAATAAGAAAAAGTTGAAATTAAAATGGAAAAGTATAAATTAATTTAGAAAAAAGTTGTTATAATAAATGGAAAAGTTGAAATTAAAAAAAAAAGTTGAATATTAAATGGAAAAGTAAAATTTAAACAGGAAAAAGTCAATATTAAATTTTAAAAAAATTAAATTAGAAAAAGTTGTTATAATAAATGGAAAGTGGAAATTAGCATGTAAAAAGTTGAATATTAAACAGAAAAATAAAAATTTAATTGAAAAAAAGGAATATTATTTTAAAAAAATAAATAAGGAAAAGTTTTTGTAATAAATAGAAAAGTTGAAATTAAAATGGAAAAGTATAAAAAAAAATATTATAATGGATGGAAAAGTCGAAATTAAGAGGAAAAACTTGAATATCAAATGAAAAAGTGAATAAAAATAAAAATGTTAAATGTATTTAAATATTATGTGTTTTCAAAAGATTTAAGCAAAATAAAAAGTATGTATATACATTTTTTTAAATTCATTGATTCCTAGATCTAGTGTGGACATTATGCAACTCCTCCCCCAATTGTAAGCTATTAGTCAGTTCTGTTTTATCGTTTCGGACGTTAGAGTCAGACGTCAGCACTAGAGTCTAGACCTAGAGTCTGGGGAGGCGAGAGTCGAGACGGATTGCATGTTTGGAGCATTAACTCCATTCGGTCTGTAAACTATAAAAAATATCTAGGACGTTTCTCAAGAGATGGAAGAGAGGACTATTAACAGTTCCGCTTTCTTTTCTCGTGCGAGTACCTAGTCGAAAATAGTGCTTCCCGGGAGGAAAAGTGCGATGATCAGAACGGGAAAAACGGCCGCTCAGCCGACAAAGGCCTCGAACAACGTCTCCAAGCAGGAGGCGACCTGCAACTACGAACCGCGCATCTGCAACCAGCCGGTCCTCGAGAACTACGACTATTGCTTCAAACACATTTTGGAGGATAAAAACGCTCCGTACAAACCTTGTGGATACGCTTATCCGTCCAACAACAAAAGGTGCCTCCTCCCAGCACCTAGGGGCGACAAAAGGGACATCGGGTGAGCAAAACAACTAATTTTAATCAACTTATTTTAAAACGATTTACAACTTAAATGTCTGTCACATATTGGCATGACACTAAATAAAATAATTATCGGAAGAATTAAATTAATCCAGATTTGATTAGTGGTGTTAATTGACCATATTAATTATGACAATTAGTTATCATTTTATCTAAGGTTTTTCGTTGAAATGAAAAAGTTAGTGTCACGAGCGGGATTCGAACCTATGACCTTCAGCTGTTCTAACTGCTTGAGCTATCATGATTTCTTCGAAGAAGTCACGATAGCTCAAGTGGCTGGAGCAGCAGTGTATTGAGCTGAAGGTCAGGGGTTCGAATCCTGCTCGTGACACTATTTTTTCATCTCAGCTAAAAACCTTAGATTAAAAAAAAATATATACAGGGTGAATTGCTACTCGTGCTACAAACTTCTCCAGTAGATTCTTCACCCTAAAATGAACAAAAAAGTTCATATTGTCCATGGTCCGATTCTCAACCATTTCAGAGTAATTTCGCTTTTTATCGATTTTGAAAGATATCACGTCCTGGCGTCGGAAAATCGTGATATCTTTTAATCTAAACATTTCTCTTAAAATCTATAAGCACCGTTGAAATCCCCGTTAATTTTTAGAGAGAATCAAAATCATAATTCCATTGAAATTTTTTAATTTAATTTAATGCCCATTTAGTATGTAATGCTTAAGAAGTTTACAAACAGCTAGAAGGTCAAGGAAGAAAGACCCAAACGTTTTGCCACCTTCATCTTCTTATTGAAAAATTAACGGGGATTTCAACGGTGCTTATAGATTTTAAGAGAAATGTTTAGATTAAAAGATATCACGATTTTCCGACGCCAGGACGTGATATCTTTCAAAATCGATAAAAAGCGAAATTACTCTGAAATGGTTGAGAATCGGACCATGGTCAATATGAACTTTTTTGTTCATTTTAGGGTCAAGAATCTACTGGTGAAGTTTGTAGCACGAGTAGCAAGTCACTCTCAAACATTAGCAATCCTTGAACCACCATTTTTTCTCTTTTTGTCATCAACATCTTGGTCTCACAACCACTAAATAAGAAAATGACGAGTGCGTTGGAAGCGTTATTAAATCAGGTAGTTTTCCTCAAATTTGCTGCCTTCTGAGACTAAAATTAGAAACTCTGGATTACTTTATACACTTTCCGATTTACACAATTTTCCACTCTTTTTGTAGTTCTGGCTGAAATAAAACACAAAAAATTAGCCCAAACATTTTGCCACCGTCATCTTCTTATTGAAAAATTAACGGGAATTTCAACGGTGCTATTAGATTTTCAGAGAAATGTTTAGATTAAAAGATATCACGATTTTCCGACGCCAGGACGTGATATCTTTCAAAATCGATAAAAAGCGAAATTACTCTGAAATGGTTGAGAATCGGACCATGGACAATATGAACTTTTTTGTTCATTTTAGGGTGAAGAATCTACTGGAGAAGTTTGTAGCACGAGTAGCAATTCACCCTGTATATTGGAAGAATGTTAAAACTATTTCTTTTTAACTAAAATGATTGAAGTATTTTAATCGCAAATTTATATTTGTAAATAAATAATAATAATTTATTCCAATTAATTAATCTTTTTATGTAAGGTCTTGGTTGAAATGAAAAAGTTAGTGTCACGAGCGGGATTCGAACCTACGACCTTCAGCTCAATACACTGCTGCTCTAACCACTTGAGCTATCGTGACCTCGATCCACTCGGACACCAACTCCCCATCACAACCTACAACTCTTAAATTCACTAGTTTTCGTGGTCCACTTGACCAATTAATATCTTTCAATTAAGTCCCAATCTTAATCTCAACTAAAAACCTTAATTGAAAGATATTAATTAGTCAAACGGACCACGAAAACTAGTGAATTTAATAAGTTAAAATGAAGTATATCTTCATTAAAGCTCTCCGTGGCCATTTCATTTGTCGCCGAGAATCAAATAGATACACGACATTCAAAAAATGGCAAAAAGGAGGGAAAATTCAAAAGGTGGGGTTGAGATGGGAAGTTGGTGTCTGAGTGGATCAAGGTCACAATAGCTCAAGTGGTAGCGCAGCGGCGTATCTAGCCGAAGGTTGTGGGTTCGAATCCTGCTCGTGACACTGACTTTTTTATCTCAACTAAAAACCTTAATTCAAACAACCTACAATCTTTTGCATTTTAGCTCTTTTTGCTATTTTTCAAATGTCGTGCAATCAGAATTCCATTTTCAGCAATTTATGAAAATGGCCATGGCGAGCTGTTAGTGAAGTGATTAGTTCTTTTACTTATTATATTAATCCATTTATGTTTACAGGTCTAATTGACCTTATTAATTATTTCTTTTTTTTGTAAGGTCTTGGTTCAGATGAATCATCTTTATCTTCAGCATTATCTTTTCATTTCCATCAAGACCTTCAATAAAAAGAATAATTAATTGAAATACTACAGATACTTCATTTTGATTAACCAAATTAGTTGTTTAACTACGTTGGTCTGGTGGCTTGCTCAGTGGGGGCAGCAGTCCTTTCTAGGTGGGTTTGAAGCTCAGAGACCCAGATGATGGGTGGTGTGGACCTATTAATAGCAATTTATGTGGTGTGTACATCTATAACAAGAAAATGGGATCTATAGTAGGAGGAGTGTCTGTTGGCTGCCTCGGTGATGTGGATGGTGCTACCAGTTCCTGTAGGTTGTTTTTGGACTGCCTCTAATGAGATTTTTACAAGGAAAAATGTGAAAGCAACTTAATATTTTATGGGTTTGAAATCATTAATTTAATTTACAATGGTAGTGTTTTTTCCAAGAGGGGGAAAACAAGAACCCTAATCAGCTGTTAAAAAAATGTAATAAACCTGACCAACAAGTTCATGTAAAACTGAGCAGCTTGAATTGTCTTTTTTTGTTTGTTATTTTTTTAATGTTTTTTGTTTGTTTTTAATTGATTCAAATTATTAATAAATATCGCTATTTTCAGATATTGTACTTTACACGTTTGGAAGGCACAAATGAAAAGGCAGAGGTCAATAGCGAAGCATGTTCCACCTGCTACCCCTGAGTCGTTATTGTCAGGCCTTTCCCACTATGTTCGACCTATAAGGTCAACTTTGAAAATTGACGGAGATGATTATAACAATACCACTAGGACAAGGCCCATAAACCTATTTGGTAAGTTTTGTACTTTTGTAATTGAACAATTATTATTCTTAAGGAATTTTTAGTCGAAGCTGATGTCACCAAGGCATCTGCATATCGCTCACATGTCTTAGAATGCGCTAGTGAGTCTGACAGCGATGTTGAGACAGCTACCCTTGATAACATTTGGACAGGGGAGAATGAAGATTCCTCAGATGCTGAAAGCATCGATAGTCAAATGGATGACCCATTGAAGTAATGCTTATTGCTTTTATTTTGGGTTACTAGGCATTAACCAAATTATTGGTTTTGCAGACATGCATCCTATTTCACAGCAGAGGAAGCAGTAGTCATGACAAGAAATAAACTTTTGAGACTTCAGGTTCTTTACCAAAAACAATTTGACAGGCTGACCCATCTCCTGAGGGAAAAACGTCGTAAATATTTACATGCTCTGAGGAAAGAAAAGGAAACGTACTGTAAGCCCATACCCATATTTTATACATCTAACTTTAATTTTATGATATTATAAAGCGTGCAATATTTAAGCTTCGATTTATGACCAACCGAGAACATCAGCAAAAGAAATAAAATTGTATGAAAAGCTCAAGGCGCTCAACAGGTACCATAAAAGATCAACTGCTGAATCAGCAGCATATTTTGCTATGCTGGAAAAAAAGATGAAGGTAACAAGTTTTTTTTTTTTTTTGCATCAGTGTTTTAATGTTTTGAGTAATTTATTGTTTATAGCAAGACCTTGGGCCAAATTATGTCAAGTCCTCTATGCCTGGCAGCGTACAAAAATGTGCGTTCACTGAAGGTGGAGTTAGGTGTTCACGAGCCACTATTCCACTGACGAGACACTGCCTGAAGCATATGCTAGAAGTAAGCCTTTATCAATGATTAATTGTCTCCTGCTGAAAAGCAATGAGGCAAAATAAATAAATAAAAAAATAAAATGTATAAAACTGTTTCAGGACTCGAATCAGTGTTTATTCAGGGCTTGTGGCTGCACCAAAGGTGGAAATGTTTGCCAGGACACTGTGACAGGTTTATGCACGGGTGAAACTTGTGTGCTCCACATTAAGTTATCAAATTTGCCCCATTCCAATTTTCCAGTAAGTTTCGAATCAATTATCTCTCATTTGGCTTAATAAGCATGGCTTTTGCGCAGAAAAAATGTTTTTGTGTGCTAAGGTTTTTGAACTTTAGATGTCACACCTAAGGGCTTTTTCTTTTTCTTTCAGTGGTTTTATTAATTGGAAAGTCTTCTTTGGTTTTAATGTAATGTATTTAATTATATCTAACACTTTGTCAGCAGGTTGAATATATCCAATATTTTTACAAAAATAATTAGGCAGTTTTCAGTACATACATAGAAAAAATTATAAAGTACTTGAAAAACTGACCAAAGTGGGCAGAATTTCCAAACAACTTGCACTCGACGAAACTCCAAAATTTTGTATAATTTTGCATTATTATTTTTCTCATAATTATTTACAATTTTATTAGGAACTAATTGTAAATAGCATGTTAATTTATTTTATATTGAAGGATTACTCATGTTAATTTAAATTAATATTAGAACAATACACTGATGGACAAAATTAACTCACCACCCTTAAATTTTAATTTATTCGTATTTTGCATACCAAAAATAGGTTTGGTTGTAAAAATAAGACATTTGAAGTGAAAATGTTATTACCCAATTCTTAAAAAAAAAAAAAAAAAAAAATTGAAAATTGTTATCCCCTTCAATATTGAATATTTCCATCTCTGGCACGAATCATGTCTGTTAAACGCCTTTGCATTTCTTGGAAAAGATTTCTGTGAAAATCCTGAAAAATTCTTTACCATTTATCAAAAACAGCCGTTTCCAACTTTTGTAGGGTGTTATGGTCAACCTAGGTTTCGCTGTCGTACTCATCACAAAAGTTCATGTTGAATGTGTTCAATTGGGTTTAAATCTTGATTTTGAACTGGCCACACCAAACACTCACTTCCAACTTTATTCAGGTAGTCATACACAGTGCGTGCTCTAATGGTTAAATATTTAAAAACCCATGTTTAAATTAATTTAATTTATAATTATTGAAGGCAAATTAATGAAAAGTAACATTTTAATCTACACTAATAATTATGTCCGAACTACAGTGCTTGCCATTTGATGTTGGTCCGTTTTTTTTTTAAATTTTTCTGTTATTCCATTGAAAATTTGCAGGACAGAACCAAATAAGCTTCCCCCCTCCCCACTGGGTAATTTGTTATTGTCTTTTGGTCAATAAGAAGGTACATAGCTTTTCAATTCAAGCAGCTCAAATCCTAACTGAAAACATTCCGGTTTCATTTGATATCTCCATGAAATTTAGGCGGCTTTTGATACAGCTCTCTTGTAACTACTGCTGAACTATGCTAAACATTATTATTAATTTCTCTAGTTTTTGTGGTCCACTTGACCAATTAATATCTTTCAATTAATTAAGGTTTTTAGTTAAGATAAAAAAGTCAGTGTCACGAGGGGATTCGAACCCATGACCTTCAGCTAAATACGCCGCTACTCTACCACTTGAGCTATCGTGACTCAATCCTCTCAGACACTAACTTCCAATCTCAACCCCACCTTTTTGAATTTTCCCTCCTTTTTGCCATTTTTCACGATAGCTCAAGTGGTAGAGTAGCGGTGTATCTAGCCAAAGGTCGTGGGTTCGAATCCCGCTCGTGACACTGACTTTTTTATCCCAACTAAAAACCTTAATTAATTGAAAGATATTAATTGGTTAAGCGGACCATGAAAACTAGTGAATTGAATAAGTTAAAATGAAGTATACTTCACTAAAGCTCTCTGTGGCCATTTCATTTGTCGCCGAGAATCAAATAGATTACACGACATTTGAAAAATGGCAAAAAGGAGGGAAAATTCAAAAGGTGTGGTTGAGGTGGGAAGTTGGTGTCCGAGTGGATCGAGGTCACGATAGCTCAAGTGGTAGAGCAGCAGCCGAAGGTCGTGAGTTCATCATAATTGTATATTTGTTTGTTCTGTTTTTGATTTAATCAGGCACAATATAAAAGCTAAAAAGCATGTTAAAAAAAAATTTTTTGCATGCAAAATGCATAAGCATGTTCATCAACTCAGTTTGACGGCCCATAGAAGGATAAAAGGAAAAAAGTGTTTTCATTTTCTCTGATTACAAAACAGTATTGCGATCACCATCTATAAAATTCAAAACATCTCCAAAACAACTTTTTTTACACTTTATATTTATTTATTTATTAATTTTAATTTTTTCACATCCTACATGTATTTGTAAAATTTAAACAATGTTTATAAAGCCCAGGTCCTGAAGATGATCTCAATAAAGATAGCAACGTAGGCACGATAACGAAAATGTTTTTCTAAAACGTCACACCAGACCGCATCTCACGATCTCGGAATAATCATTGGCTAACGGTCACTAAACACCACACATTAAAAACATTGATTGATCATTGAGTATGTTGGATTTTTTTACATTATTTTAATTTTGTTATTTTTTTAACAACTCACTTTTTGATTAAAAAAAAAAAATAATTCCGCAATTTGATTCTTGACTCTTACTGCCGAGGTTGTCAGTTACAAGCATAATAAAGAAAGAAGCATGAATTTGCCTAGCTTTGCTTTAAAATAATTGTAATTGGACTATCAAAGATTATAGAACAATTTGCGTTTAGTAATTGATTTTCTTTTATAATTGCAGACCACCCCTCGTGCATTGTAACTCGGATTAACTACTAGTATTCTTCTTTAGTAATCAGTAAATAGTGAACACTTGTAAGTTGATGCTTTGATAGTTGTGACTTCCTCACCTTAATCCTGTTGTGCTGTGATATATTTATTTATAACTAAAAGCAAATTTGGATAAAAATAACATTAACAAAGTAATATTGAAAAAAGGATTATATTATTCAGATGTTTGGAATTTTAAACAAGTTTAGAGACAAATTTGTTTCCCCTCTCCACCATTCAGTAGTTTTAATAGACAGATATTAGAATGAATTGTGGCCCATAATTTAAAAAAATCTTAATTCAATAAGGCTGTAAGCGAGAAGTTTAGATGAGGATGTAAAATACTGTCAATTAAAATAACATCTTAAACTAAAAATTACTGTTCCAAACCAGTAAGTACTGTATCCTTTATTGATTTACAAGTTTAAAGTATCCTTTCAGAAGGTAGATTTATATGAATATACTAATAGTACTTAATCATCCATCTCATGCAACCAGTCAGAAGCTTAATTCAGTTTTCTGGCGCGCCAAATTTTTGTTTAAAACAAGTCATTAGAGTTATAAATAGAACTAATTATAGAGATTATTTGGTATCAATAAAAGGGTGGTAGTTAAAAATATGCATTCTCTCATAATATTCGTACAACTTTGTCCAAGAATTTAATTTTTTTTTTTTAAATTTTCTTAATTGTCTATAAGGCATAAAGCTAGGAACTAATTAAAAATTAGTGAAAAGTACCATTTTCCATTTCCTTGCAACATTTATAGCGAAATTAAGTTGAGTATAATTTTAACAACCTATTTCTTTGCTTCACATTATTTTCTAATTTATGTCATATTTATACAGGGTGATTCACTACTTGTACAATAAAGTTCGTTAGGAGCTTCTATACCCCAGATGCAATAAAAAAGTTCATTTGAACTATCGTCTAATTCTCAACCCTATCATAGTGATTCGACATTTCATGTTTTTTCCAACTATCATTGATTTTCGTTGTAAATCTATTCGTAGCTCTTAAACTATTCATTTTTGGGGAACTTAAAAAAAAAAAAAAATAAAAAGTGTTAAATTTTGTTTAAGAAGGCAACCGTAGTAGAACTTTAATTTTTGGTAAAAAAAATAAAGCCTAAAACTCAAAAACTGCTAAATTTAAAATTTAAAAAAAAAATTGCAATATGGTTTTAAAAATTCATGGTAAAGATTGGCAAATTTCATAACACTTTGTTTGTTTGATATGTTTTCTAGAGGTATACTCTTTTCTACTAATTACATTGAAACCAAATGCAGAAATTATATGCTAAATGGGGGGAAAAAAAATGGTGACGATTTGAAAAAAAGGGGAATGGGATTATTCTAGACTGGCTTTCTTTAATAAATATAAAAAAAAATCAATGTAATTTTTCTGCTTTGGTTGTTCACTTTGTTTATTGTGCCTTGTTTTGTGTTTTACTTGATTTTTAACTTTGAATTTTTCTTGTTGTTTGTGTTTTTTTTTGTCTGTGTTTAGTGTAGTTATTTTGTTTGATTTTTCTGCTTTAGCTAAGTTAAAGTTGGAAATAAATTTTGCCCCGTACAAAAAGCAGAAAATTTCTGCATTTTGGTTCGATCAAATTAAATAAAAGAGTGTACCACGAGAAATCTTATTAAACGAAAAAGTTATGAAATTTGTCCATCTCAACTACTCTTTTTTTCAATAAGTTTGCAAATGTCGTTTTTTAGTTATTTTAAATTTAGCAGTTTTAGTAAGATTTAATATTTTTTTATTTTTTTAATCCAAAATTAAATTGAAAATTCCAAGAGGGTGCTTCCAAAAGGAAATTTAACACTTTTCAATGCTTTTTTTGTATTTCCCCAAAAATGAATAGTTCAGGAGAGACGAGTAGGTTTGGGACAAAAAATGTAGATAGTTGGAAAAAAAGTTTAATATCTGCAAAAGGGATGAGAATTGGACCATGGTGCGTACGAACTTTGTCGTAGGAGTAGTGAATCACCCTGCATATCCCTACATCTAAAGAAAATAAATGCTTCATAATTATCTTTTACAGAAATGTTAAAACTTTTTTCCAATCATACTATTATCACAGTGAACCTTCATTGGCCTAATAACTGAGTTTTTAAAGCTTTTTCTCTACTTTTTATTTTGTGACATCATCTCCATTTATTCTTGATATCATCATCTCATCGGACTTCATTATTCTTTAAAATAAGATGTAATCTCTTGTCTTTTGTTCACCTTGGATTTTCATGTTACTTAAAACTACTAACAATTTAATGGAATGTACGAAGTTTTTGTGTCAACCGTGTTTTTTAATTTTTTTAATTTGGTTTGTTGGTCAATATTAATTTTAATTGATAAAAAGAAAGGAAAAAGTAGTATTAATAAAATATGTTATCCATAGGAGTCCTTTAATAAATTAGATATGGAGGATAAAATGAATAAAAGTATGGATGACAGTGAGTTAGATGCATCCGCTACCGAAAGTGCTTTCTCAACAGACAATCGAGATTCGCCTGATGATTCCATGAATACAACGGAAGATGTCAACAAACAGCATTCGGAAAGCCTCATGTTTACTAGTATGAAATCTGATTTTCCAGAGGAATGTGAACAGGAAGTATCCGAAAATTCTCACACCCACCCGACTGAGGAAGGAGAACTGTCAAATAGAGATGTGAGAGACCAAGCAGAAATGTTTTCTGTTTCCGATGTAAATCAACCACATAAGACATCCATTTAACATATGTATGCTGTTTTATTTGTATATAAAATTTTAAAATTGTAATTAAAAATAAATAAATCTTAATTATCATCTGCTTCTTTTGTCTTATCGATTCTTCTTTCATCTTGAACTTTTTTAATCTGTTTTCAAAATTTAAACTTTTTGATACATACAGTCAATTAACCCTTAACATGGGGAGATATACTCTCAGCTCATTGACCCTGTGGTCTTAGGTTTGATTCCTAACATAGCCCCTGGCCTTATTTTCCCTTCCCCCTCAAAAAATACACATATGCATATGTATGGTGTACATCTCTAGCTAATATGCAAGGACATAAAACTATTAAAAATACCTTTACATGTATAATTTTTTTTTATGAGGGTTTGCAACAGCAGAGGTCATATAAACCCTCAGGGTGCTGGTGTTGAAAAAAAGCCTAGTACTTGTAAGTATGTCGGGTTCGAATGCAGAGCAGCTGGATTCGAACCCGGCATCTTTACCTTACAAAACGCCGTGTCAACACCTAAACCGTTGCGGCCACCGACGCCCCCCCCCCAAAAAAAATGTTATAACAAACTTAAAAAATATAAATGTACTAAAAATACCCTAAAAACTATCTTTCAGTTAATTAAGGTTTGTTAGTTGATATTAAAAAGTCAGTGTCACAGCGGGATTTGAACCCACGACCTTTGGCTAGATACGCTGCTGCTCTACCACTTGAGCTATCGTGACCTCAATCCACTCAGGCACTAACTGCCCATCTCAACCCCTCCTTTTTGCCATTTTTCGAATCCCACTCGTGACACTGACGTTTTATCTCAACTAAAAAACTTTAATTAATTGGTCAAGCGGACCACGGAAATTAGTGGACTTAAAAACTATGTATATGTAAATCAATAAAATAATATTAACAAATCAACATGAAAAAAAGAGTATTATTAATAGAAAATAATTACATAACAATAATAATAGGAAAAAATGTATACTGAGAGTATACCATTTAAAATAGCTGAATTACAAATAGCTCTTCATAAAGACAAAAAAATAATGACTAAATGAATTAAAAAAAAATGTTTTTACTTTTAGCATGCCATGGAAATGATAAGCTGTTAAAAAAAAATGGTTTTGTTTCTCATATTGATTGATAGACAGAATTGATTTATGGTCAAAAAATGTATTTAAAGGTTTTTCAGTCAGTGTTTATCCGCCGTAGAGAGAACATCTAGTAATCCTTCAGCAGTAAACATCGACTATCCTTCCTTAGGAAATACCTTTGAATTGTTTTTTCGCCTTTTGTTTTTATAAATTGGCCAGATAAATCTTCTTCTTTTAATCTAATCACGATAATTAACAACTTAATTCATCGGTCTCCATAAATGGACACCGACAATGAATTGAGACAACCAAAACCTCCTGATAANAATTATTTGGACTATTCCGTACGTTATACATTCATAGTTTGTAGTACTTTTCCTTCTTTTTATTTCATAATGGATTATTTGTATTAAAATATATAAAGATATATTTTTTCCATACTAACACTTTTTCATGACCAACTCTCAATTTATTCAAAGTATGATCTCTAGGTTTTTATCATTTATAGCTATCTATGCAAAGAAAACCATTTAAAAATTCTTTCTCAAAATCCATTTTATCCTAAAACTTTCCATATAAGGGATTGTTTGAAAACATAACGTCCCATGTAGCAACATTAAGCCCACTAATCCACTTTATATAAATAAGAAAATTGAGAAGAAAGGGTATTAACTTTGTCATAGTTTATTGTTAAGCCTTTTCTTGATAGTGAAAGAACAGAGAAGTGCCTAGATAAAACCTTCAGACTGTCCTGAAGTAGCCATCAGTACACGCATTTAGTGAAGAATTCAAAACTGCGTCTTTGTGTCTTCATTTATTAATGCATTTGCACCATTTTGTGCCTTTGTGAGCTTAACTGTGCAAACTACTCGCATTAGATGGCTAGCTCCAACTCATGGGAAAGACATCATCATCTTCAACTCACAAATTGAGGTGAGCCATATTTTTCTTCTGTCTAACTTCATAACATTCTTATTATTTGAATTCTTTATTGATATAAAGTTTATTATGTTTATTAGTTTATTAAATTTTTTACAAAATGTTAATACTGCATTACTGTTAGTGGGTTGCAATTATACATTTGCTGCTTAAAAACATACAAATACATTATTTTATTTAATAAAATAAAGTAATAATGGTGTGAAAAAATTTAATATGTGTAATAATTTTAGTTGTACACTGATTTTTGGTAAAATAAAAATTAACTTAAAAGGAGTGGTTTAGATAAAGGAATAAATATAAATTAAATAAATTTGAGAAAAGGATCTGATTGGAAGTGACATGCTTAATAAAAACTCATTTGTAATTGAATTCCTGAACTAACAACTTTTCATAATTGCATATAAGTTTCTCAGCTTAATCTGTCTTGCCTAAATAGCTCTTCCAAACCCACTTACAACGGGACAAGTGGCCTCAAAATGGAATACATTTTTGCTTTCTTTTAAGAAAAAATCCTGAATTCAGACAGTTCTTCTCAGATGGTAGGCATGTTTTGTGGACTTTTTAAATAAGATATTTCTGATAGGGCGAAGAAAAATAGAATTATAACTTGTAGTGCACTATTAACAATTGAATATGAGGTACTACAGGGTGCAAGGTAGTTTTAGGTCTTTTCTTTTTCCTTATTTACTTTACCGATTTGTTAAAAGTGAACATTTTGGATGAAAAGCTTTAGTTAAGCTGATGACACTACTACTACATATTTAGATTTTTTTAAAACATTACTAACTTTACTAATAAAGAATATAAAAAATTGACTTGATAATAACTCTCTGTTTTTTACTGTAGATAAAAATTAATGTTTATTCTTTTCAATAATTAAATAAACAAAATGATTTTACATTTCTGACTTTTAAATTGTTCCTGCAAACGTCTTCCTTTTGAAAGTAAAGTAAAATATATATTCACTAGTTTTCATGGTCCGCTTGACCAATTAATATCTTTCAATTAATTAAGGTTTTTAGTTGAGATAAAAAAAAAGGAGGGAAAATTCAAAAGGTGGGGCTGAGATGGGAAGTTGGTGTCCAAGTGGATCTAGATCATGATAGCTCAAGTGGTAGAGCAGCGGCGTATCTAGCCAAAGATCGTGGGTTCGAATCCCACTCGTGTCATTGACTTTTTTATCTCAACTAAAACCCTTAATTAATTGTAAAATATATGTTTTTTAATTGGTCATAGCTGACAAGTGTAATTATTCAAAGTGATTTATAATTTTTATGGAAAGTGTGGTTGAGATGAAAAATTGTCAAGAGTAAGACTCCAACCCAGAACCAGAAAAACAGAAAAAAACCCCACTGTGTGTGGCAGTGGCTGCAACCGTTGCATAATTATCATCACTGTAAGGGTGCCGAGTTCAAACCTCAGAGGCCCTGAATTCAAATCCAACATACAAGTATTATTGTTTTGAAATAAAAAAAGGCCATTTCAAAGGCTTTAGATATCTTCTGTTATTGTTCTCTGCAAAAAAAAGTTGTTTCTATAATAAATTAGATTGCTAAAATAGGTTCAATTTAATAAAAAAGTACAATGCTGGTTACGATGAAAAATAATTGATATTTGTCGATCCAATCTCACTCTCCTTTACCTCAAAATTCAACTGAAAATACTGCCAAGAAGTCAGATTTGTTAAATTTAAGTATAAGGAGATCCTCATTTTACCTTACAGAGCATTAATAATGTATCCTTCGATATTTTAGAATATGAGTTTTTTAAATGATGAAATACAAACATAAAAAATTACAAGAGTAATTTTATATTTATTTAAAATCTTTGTGCACTGGTTTATTGATAGACTGTTATTGATTTCAAGCATTCATTCACTGATCTTCTTGGTAAGTTTTCCTGAAAATGAGAAGAAACGTGTCAATAGAGTAAGTCAAATTCAAAATGTACCGAAAGTAGCATTTTCAACAATCGATAGAAGTTAAAAGATTGGATCCAAAATCTGACAAATGCAACACACATTCACAAATAGAAAGAAATAAAATTACATGGTCATGGGTTCAATTTTCGTTGCAATTTCTTGCCCATTATTATCTCACTCTGTACAATTAAACACCATCTTTACAAAAATTAAATTTTCAAGACAAGAATGCATATTACTTTGTAAATGTTTTATAGCTGGTGTTGGAAATTCAATTAGCTCAGGTTTCATGACAGTTTAATAGTGAAGCCTGACATAATTAAAAGTATTGTGATTTAATTAGTGGCCAACTGCGATAAAATATTATAAAGTTTGTTTATCTATAAGATAAAATGAAAGGCACAAAACACAAAACAAGTGAGGGTTGTTGTGTTGAATGATTAGAAAGGAGCTGAACCTGCTTGCCCTTAGGAGGATTATCTGGTCATCGGTTTTATTCATGTTGATTCAAGTTGAAAGGGGCTTCTCAAATAAATTTACAAGAAAATTTCTTCGTTTTATAATATATTTTATTATACTTTTCATTTTTATGTTCATTGAATAAAAAAAGGGAAAAATCGAAATTAAAATGAAAAGTGGAATATTAATGGAAAAAGTTTAATAAATGCGAAAGTCGAAATCAAAAAGGAATAAGTTTGAATGTACTAAAAAACCTTTACTGCGGTCTTCCTACCGCATTTAAAACCTTAAAATTCGTTTTTGAGACGTAAAGATGAGGCACAAAACCCAAAATAGGCGACGGTGACCCTCTATGTTTTAATATTTCCATGACATACGATTGACATATTTATAAACTACTGGTAAAAAGAAAGACCTTTTGCTTGAGAAGTTTTTGTCACCGAAGATAGTGTTTAATGTCTAATTACGGCGCGAACCCCGACTAAACCCGCATTGCTTTGAAGTCTTACAGAACTGTTTGCTTTCACGCCGTCTTTATTTATTTATTTTTTTACGAGGGTTTGCAACAGCAGAGGTCATATAAACCCTCAGGGTGCCGGTGCTTTTGAAAAAAAACCATTTGTAAGTATGTCGGGTTCGAATGCAGGGCCGCTGGATTCGAACCCGGGACCTTTACCTTACAGTGATGAGTGCCATGTCAACGCCTAAACTTTTGCGGCCACCGACGCCCCCGCCGTCTTTATTTACAGTCCTATGTAATTTCCAATGAAAGTGGGGAAGTTAGTTCTCCCTGGTGAGTTAGAATCATCCAACAATTTTATGAGTTAGTTCGAAAAAATAATTCCGACAATTGGTCAGACTTTTTCCTTTTTATTTAACAAAATATCTAACAACTAACCAAGCGTATTACATTAAATTTTTTTCCAAAAACAAAATCTATAAGCACATTCATACATGCTTTCGTTTTTTTTCTTTTCATAAAGACAGCTACCTTATTAATTATTAATTACCGTTAAGTCTATATAGCATCGGTGACATAAACAGGCCCATCGGAGTCACGCCGACGGTTCTCTAGTAATTCTTTTGAACGATGCGCACGGGAAGTCCACATCGCTCTCTGGAGATAATTGTATTTCGGAGAGCGGCGAGGCACCCCTTAGTCAGCCCAAGACCGACCAGAAGATTGGTCTAAATAGTGACAATCGAACACAATAGTTTTTATGGCCTGAGTCACAAAAGAAGCGCGGTAAGGAATTTGTATTGAATGGATTAGAAAGGGGGTAATCTGCCCGCCTGTCGGAGGATTATCCGGCTACCCTTTTATTCAACTGTTACACAAACTTGAGCTTCTTATAGAAACGGCCGATTTGTAAAAAAAAAGGGAATACCCTGCTTCCCTTAATTTACCCTTACGCGTATCCCATTCTTTAAAATCAACTGAATCAATAATTATTTATGCGTGTTTTTTAAAACGTACAAAATTACCGTTGTATAAAAATGTACATTTTCTGTTTTATATATATANATATAATTTATTTACGCCGATTGATGATAAATCAATAATGGCGCAGGCGTTAAAAAATGTATTCAATTTTTTTTTCTTTTCAGCAGCAAAGGTATAGTCTTTTAACTTCTATCGCGTCATTCAGCCTTGCGAATAAAGAGCTGAAAGTTTCTTATTGGAAAATAAAAAAAAAGAAAGAAAGAAATAAAACAAAAAGGTAACAAAACAAGCCCTCTTCGGAAAACAGAATCGCGTAAAATAAAATAAAAGTCCGAACCTCGTCCTGGTCTTCGTCAAGTAGAGTCCATAAATAAAAACAATTCCTTTCTCTCTGACTCATCCTCACCGACCCATTCAACCTCAAGCCTTGCCTGTCCCGCGGGCCGGGCCCCTCTTCTCGTCGATGTTGCCGCTGAGACATATTTTTATTGTGATGTAATTTACATTTTTCTTAACATATACTATTTAAAAGGTTGAGCCTCCTTCTGCTCCCAAGATCTTCTGAACAACAAAACAAAACTATTTTCCACTTGCAAAAGAACGCCCACCGTCGACAATGCAAGCCTTGCGGAAAATATTGAAGCGCACATATGGGCGGCCATGCCGTCGACTGAATATTTTTTTAAATTTGACAAATGTGTTTTCAAAGCTATAAAAATAATGACATATTTCCATATTATTATTTGCTGTTATTTATCTTTTTGTAAGCATATAATATTTAAATGAATTTTCTTTTTCATGGTTTTTATTCCAAACGTGGTTTCTTTTTAAATATCTTGTAAATTATATTTTTTGTTAAGAACAGTTACAACCAGTAGTTTTTAATAAATTAGACCTCCTGGCAACTGCATTATTGTAGAGATTTGTGTGTGCTTAAGAGGAAGCAGGATTGCTGAGATATATTCAATTTATAAAAACACAACAGGTTGTAACAGTTCTTAACAAAAACATAACCTACAAGGTATAACATTTAATTTAGTAGAAAAATAAATATGCACGTGGCTGGGTGATACGGCAACTGACGATGAAACAGCAGTTGCTCATGAAGTTATTGAAGTTGACAATTGTAACGACGATTATTATTCAGAAATCGTGAGATGCGGTCTGGTCTGATGTAGGTTTCAGAAAAACATTTTCTTTATCGTGCCAACGTTTCGATCTTTATTAAGATCATCTTCAGGGCCTGGGATTTACAAACATTGTTTACATTTATACGTTAGTCGAAATTGTGTTGGTGTTCAAAATGGTGGGTAGCGAGTGCGGTAGGATTTTTCTTGGGTTTTTTGCAATCATAGATATGTTGCTTTACTCTCTTGTCCAGATATTGAGATGTACCCACCATTTTGAACACCAACACAATTTCGACTTCAAAAATCCAAAAATATTACACACAGAACAAAACAAACATAAACGTAATTTCTTAGAAATGGTTTATATAAACAGAGATAAACACAGCATCAATTACAGAACAGATACATGTACACTCAGTCGCAGCTACGCCAATATCATTAATCAAATTCAGTACAGATAACATACATATATCATTACATTACAATCCACTCATCAAATATTTTTCATGGTCTAATTGTCCAACAATTTAGCTTTCCTTTTCCTATTTATCCTTTTCTATATAATTCAGAAAGGATAATCTGGCCGAATCATTACCAACACATTTCTTCCCTTCGTCGGCTCTTTTCACCTCAAAGATGCCGACGCCTTATACAAAAATGTCTTTTCTATACCGACTTCCTTCCCCACCCCTTCAAAATCCAACGTATATAAACATAAAACAGCAAAATCTCACTGGCACTCTCAACACGACACGCAAGAATGACACAATTACACAGAAGACAAACATTTTGATTGAGTAGAAATACTTTGATTGAACATAAAAAATATATTTTGCATTGTATAAATTCACTTTTCCACATTCTACAAGTATTTGTTAAATGTAAACAATGTTTGTAAATCCCAGGCCCTGAAGATGGTCTCAATAAAGTTCGAAACGTTGGCACGATAAAGAAAATGTTTTTCTAAAACCTACATCACACCAGACCGCATCTGACAATTTCTGAATAATTATCGATTAACCGTCACTAATCACCACACATTGTAACGACGGATATTCATCTGTCGCAAAGAAAAACTCTATAGAGTGACAACACACGTCACTTACACACACACACACACACACACACACACACACGACGACAACACTCTATTCGACACTCTAAGAAGACAAAGCCGGCCCGAAAGAACTTTGTTTCTACAAGCCATCAGTGTTATTGTAGAACGAAAACTAAAAATCATCATATACCGCACCGTTCGGCACCGATGGAATTGTTATACCGTTTGTCTAATAATGCTTGAAGACTATAATAGATGCTGCCGCACGGTGATTAGCGATAAATTAAATTAAATTGTGGTTTTGAATTATAGGTTGTTGGATTTGATAACTCAAATGGTTGCGTCGAAAACAGGATTGAGCGTGTTCACACTAAAAACTCAATCAAGAAAGTTTTTTCAATCTAAATTATTTATAAAAATCGTACTAATTGACCACCGTTTAATAATTAAAGCATTGGAGAAAACTGAGGAAAAGAAACGTTGCGAAAACAGGTTGCTGAGTCTAAAGCGATCAGGTGGATATTTGCACTTCTCGAAGTATCAAATCAATATAGGATTTACAAATGTATGTGATTTTTGCCTGTTTACTACAATCAGAAGGTATGAATTTGCCGTTATGAAATACCTGCCTGTCAACGAGCTGCGTTCATACGTGTTAACATTGAATGAACACGGAACTATTTACTGAAAATATTGAAAATATCTTAAAGGTTCCTTTTACGATACACGATATAAAGCAGAACGACACCCTAGTGCAAATAAACGCTGGTCTACCATCGGCGGAAAGTTTTTTTACTCTGGCAAATATGTTGTCAAAGGTAAAAAAATAATGATATTATTATTGTGTTGGTATTTGCTCATGTCTGAATTTTTATTTTAGGAGGAAATGAAATTGCTCATAGCTGGGTCGTCGGGCAACTGACGTTGATGAAGTTGAAAATTGGAGCGACGGACATTCATCTATCGCAAAGGTACGATTATAGACGTCTTTTGTTCGAATTTTGTTTTTCAACCAAATTTCGTTTCAGATTTATATGTTCGCTGGAAACTGTAGAGAATACAGTTCTGACATGGTTATTCGCACTGGAAGATAAACTGATGAGAGTGATAATCGATATGTTCGACACTCGAAGAAGTCAGCCGGCCCGAAAGTCCTTTGTTTCTACACGCCATCAGTGTTAGAACGAAACCTCCAAAAAACCATCATATCCAGCATTCCCCACCGGTGGAAACATTGAACGCTGTGCTTCTATCATCAGTTGACGGTTTGGTGATGTACACAACTGATTTGTAAGGTGGATCACGTCCAGAACACATATCGTTAATGAATGTGAGGGCCTTGAATGGGTGTCTCCTGGTGGTGTAATAGCCACAGACCGCGATTTACTCATCGGTCTGGTGGATGTCCACGGCGAAGAGGCTTTGTCGGTCGACTTTAGCCCTAGTCGTGTGAGGTTGGCACGGGAGGATGTGGAGAAGAGGCTGATGAACTTCTTCATTTTGAGAGATGTTCCAGCAAATCTAATGGACTACGCGTCTACCGTACTAGAAGTGGCCGTATTGCTTATGAATTATGGGCACTTAACACCTTCATGAAAGCATAAGTAAGTTTATTTTGAGTACAGTTTTCGTTTTTCTTTAACCAAATAATTATTTTAAATTTTCTTATTCTAAAATTAAAGAACCACGTGCCGATTAATTGTGTAAGACATGTTGGCAATCGTCATCTTGTAAATGACTGAAGTTCGTAGGAGATACGACGCACCACGGTGTATAATTTCGGTAATTTGATCTAATAATATTGATTTTATATAAAAATTTCGGTTGCATTCATTAATGGTACACGTTAATTTTTATGCCTGGCGATGTGGGTGTGCTTAAAATTGCCGGCCCGAGAGTCCTATGTTTCTCCACGCCATCAGTGTAGATCAAGATTTCAAAAATCATCATACACTAAATTCGGCACCGTTAGAAACATCCAAAGCTGTTTTTCTATCATCAGTCAACTGTGTGGTGATGTACACTACTTAATTGCACAGGTGGATCACGTCCAGAACACATATTGTTAAGGAATGTGAGGGCCTTGGATGGGTGTCGCCTGGTGGTGTAATAGCCACAGACCGAGATTTACTCATCTAGTGCATATCCACGGCGAAGAAGCATTGTCGGTCGAGTTTAGCCTTAGGTATACGAAGTTGGCTTGGACGAAGTGGGGAAGTGGCTGATGGATTTCATTACGAGAAATGATCCAGAAAATTTAATGAACTACGCATCCACGGTATTACAAGTGGTCGTTTTACTTATGAATGATGCGCACCTAACGCTGTGATGATTGCTTCCTCGAATTTCAATTGGGCATATTACCAAATAAAGACTTGGATCACATCTTGATGTATGTACAAATGTCATTGATTTCGAATCATCATATTACTTTTAAATTGCCGTATTCTTATATTAAAGGACAATGAGCCGATTTACCAGTGGATGGAATGCGCGTTGGCCATAGTTTCGCATTTAAAGACCAATCTTCCTACAAGACCTCGACTACGATTAATCTGGTAATCTGATTTTCTATTTCCAAAAAATATATTTATTTTTATTGGAGATGGTCGTGGTTCGAGTCCCGCTCGTGACTAGTTTTTCAACTCAAGCACTTTGCATAAAGTTTAGTATTTTGTGACCGTGATAATGTGTGGTGATTAGTGACGGTTAATCGATATTTATTTAGAAATCGTGAGATGCGGTCTGGTGTGATGTAGGTTTCAGAAAAACATTTTCTTTATCGTGCCAACGTTTCGATCTTTATTGAGATCTTCTTCAGGACCTTATTAATCATTAATTACTCTTAAGCCTATACATCATTGATCCCATAAACAGGATTTATGAGAGTCACGCCCCTGCAAACACTGGCAGGTGGCATCCCAACGCCAGAAAAAACGAACCCAAAGGAGTTCTCTCGAGCAATTCTTTTGTCAATCCTCGCACGAGGTCCACCACTCTAAGCTCTCTGGGGAAAGAGCTAAGCTCTCTCCAAGAATGTTAATTGCATAATCATTATACTTTTATACAAGGTGTTCGGCTACTCGTGTTATAAACTTTGCCTGTAGATTCTACATTCAAAATGGAACCAAAAAGTCCTATTATTAATCTTTCCACCTTACCTATCCTTCAACGAAGGTCTTTTCGTTGATCAATTTCTTCATCTTTGAAAAACGTAATTAAAAAAGCAATTGCACTACTATTAAATGGAGTACGTTTTCTGAAATTTGCTGGTGCCTAGGTTTGGAAATAGTAGTTTAGCATCACCATAGTAACTTTTTGAACTCTGAAAAAAAAATTATTCAGAAATCGTGAGATGCGGTCTGGTGTGATGTAGGTTTCAGAAAAACATTTTCTTTATCGGGCCAACGTTTCGATCTTTATTGAGATAATCTTCAGGCCTGGGATTTACAAATATTGTTTAAATTTAACATATACATGTAGGATGTGGAAAAAAGTGAATTTATACAGAGAATTTATACTAGACCGCATCTCACGATTTCTGAATAATTATCGACTAACGGTCACTAATTACCACACATTTCTGAAAAAAATTGTTTTTCAAAGTTTTCTCTACGAAAACGCCTATTTCACTAACATTTACAAGTCTAATATTGATCACATCTTATTGGAAATTTAATCCTTTTCAACGGTTTCAACGGATTTCTCCACAACCTTTTAGTTTTGGAGTTATCACTGTTTAGTTGAAGCAAGGTCGTTATATCTTAAAAAATCAGAAAAAGTGAAATAACTCCGAAACTTTTTAGATTCAGACAACAGTTAATTAGGGCTTTGTGGTTCCATTTTAAATGTAGAAAGTTGTCAAAGGTTGTAATACGAGTAGCCGAACACCTGTATATACAAACTGTAATAAAAGAAAAATTTGCTCTTAATTGAATATAGTCCTGAGGAGGGCATCAAACGCAGCCGATAGCTCGACATTAGAAAACAAGTTTTTTTACCTTTAGTGCTGATTGGATTATTTCCATGGCACACAATTAACATATTTGTAAACTACAGGTAAAAAGAACAACCATGGAGGCGTAAGTAGACGCAACGTTTAGGCGTTGACACGGCGCTCATCACTGTAAGGTGAAGGTCCCGGGTTCGAATCCAGCGGCCCTGCATTTCACCGACATACTTACAAATGGGCTTTTTTTCAAAAACACCGGCACCCTGAGGGTCTGAGGGTTTATATGACCTCTGCTGTTGCAAACCCTCGTTAGGAAAAAAATAAAAATAAATCCCGGTTAATTGGGAAGATTTTATGTATTTTGCACTATATGTATAAAATTTAAAATATATATAATAATATTTATAATTCAAATATATTTATGACATAATCAAATAATCTTTTCTGCACTGAAGATGGCGTAATGCCGAAACGCGTTTGAATAACTCAAACAAAAAAACCCGCGAGTGAAGACAGACCCAGTCTTAGTGCCCGTGTGCCGGTTCAAAAAATAATCTTTACTTGTATGTGGCTAAATACGGCGCGAAATCCGACTAAACCCGCAATGTTTTGAAGTCTTACAGTATTTTTTCACGTATCTTTATTTTACTGTCCTGTGTAATTCCCAATGAAAGGAAAGGTTAGTCCCTGGTTAGATAGAATTGTCCAGTAATTTTATGAGATAGTTCGCAAGAATAATTCCGGCAGTTGATCAGGCTTCATTACTTTTCATTTAACAAAATATGCATAGTTTATAATAATTATTAATAAAAACTGTCTTACAATCAATTTCATTATTTTTCATTTAACAACGTGTCTTGGCGAGGAAAAGTCCACGGAGATGCCCATTGTGCGGCGCACAAATAACTGTTAAACATTTACTAACCGAATGCGAACTACTGGCGCCGCACAGAACAAAGTGTGGCCTTTCCTCGAGCTGTCCATCGTTCTTCCGGTTTTCCTCCTTTTCTTTCTGTTTTTCGTCTCGTCTCTCACCGCTCGCTCGCCTTGCCTGCTTCCGCCGCCGTGTTGGCCCGGCCTCCGCCGTCTCAGTTCCCGATCCAGGCGTCCAACCCTACTACACGGCTTCCGTCATTCTCTCCTAGGTCGGCAAAGTTCCCTGCCACGTTAGAGGTACCCTTTACTAAAAAAATGGAATTTTTCTGACCCCTAACGTCGAAAATTATTTCTTTTTCTAAACTTTTGACCGGGAGTTCAAAAATCGGGGAGGTGAATAGTCAGGGCGTAAAAGCCTAATGCGCGCAGAAGGTCCACATCGACATCCTTTCTTCAAGCTCCCTGGGGATAATTGTATCTCAGAGGCCGGGGAGGCAGCCGAAGACCGACCAGAACATTGGCCTAAATAGCACCGACACAATAGTTTTTTCCTAAATCAAAAAAGAATTTCGGTAACGAATTTGTATTGAATGGATTAGAAAGGGGGTAATCCTGTCAAAGACCGACCAATACTCGGTAGCCACGACGACCGTCAACATGGAAAGTGGGCCGGATCGCGATATTTTAAAAAGTAGACAAAATCGAACCATCTATTAAAGATCTGAAAGTGTGCGCAATGTTTAATTTTGCAATTAAATAGCAACAATCGAACAGAATAGTTTTTATGGCCTGAGTCACAAAAGAAGCACGGTACGGAATTTGTATTGAATGGATTAGAAAGGGGGTTACCCAGCCAAAGAGCGCCCAAAACTCGTAGCCACTATGACGAAAAAATTTTCTGATAATCTTCCTACAGTAAAAAGTAATTTGATATCTCAAAAAAACTTTGCATGTTTAGTATTAGTCATTTTTTAAATTTCTTATTAAAAAGTCCATTACAGTTCGTGGTCCGATTGACCAATTAACATTTTTCATTTCGGCTAAATACGCCGCTACTCTACCACTTGAGCTATCGTGACTTTTATCTGAACCAATACCTTTCATAAATATTAATTAATTGAAAAATGTTAATTGGTCAATCGGATCACGAACTGGTACTGGATTTAATAATTAAACTGAAGTATATCTTAACTCTCCGTGGCCATTTCATTTGTCGCCGAGAATCAAATAGATTACACGGCATTTGAAAAATGGCAAAAAGGAGGGAAAATTCGAACGGTTATATGTTGAAATGGGAAGTTGGTGCCCGAGTGGCTCGAAGTCACGATAGCTCAAGTGGTAGAGCAGCGGCGTATCTAGCCGAAGGTCGTGGGTTCGAATCCCGCTTGTGACACTGACTTTTCATTTCAATCAAAACCTTATATAAAGATTAATTAAATGAAAAAAGTTATTAAAAAGGTTTACATAATATATTTTAATGATTATAGATTCTAATGATTATTCCATAGTTCCACAGAGCTGTTAAATTAAAAATAAGAAAGTAAGATAGGAAATAATATTGTAACACAATCTGTTTAAATTAAATCGATTTATTTAATTCAACAACATGTAATTTTATATTAGTCTAAATAACAGTGGTCGGCGATCCAACTGGACGTGCAAAAATATAATGAACAAACTGAACTGCCTGCTCTTTGCGGATATTTCCTCTCATAGATCGTCGAGATTCTTGGTGTTTGTAGAATTCCGGAGCGTTGCCTACTTATGTCTTAGGATTCTTTGTTCTGGAAACAAAATAAACAAGGTTACACTTGTTATCGTAGATAATACTACAGTTTGATTTAATACTACATTAGTCAATTAAAACAAAATACGTACCTTACGTCAAAAATCATTGAAATGGATGTAATTAGTCAATGAGACCACAACTTTCCATAAATTCGACGAGCAATCCCCGAGTGATGGCGGAATGGCTTTCACCACGTCCCATTCCATCAAACGCCGTTTCAGATCATCTCGGCTTTTCTTCAATCGCACCAGGCCTAAGTCGATATTTCTCGTCTTCACCCCAACGGGAAGATTGATAATAGCGTCTCCGTTGACTGCGATGACGTCACCAGGCATTAGCGTCTCCAGAACACCGCAGTACTGGACAATATCGTCTTTACGTCCTTTCCACCGAAACAATTCGCCTGTATATATAACGGTCCCATCGGCCGTGGAAAGTAGAACTGTTGTGTAAGGCTCCGGAGGCGTCTTGTGAGGTAGATGCGGGTTGTCAGGAGCTTTTCTGTAAACTGACACGGTCTGGAGCACCATAAGCCCGTCGAATAAATACGGGTCTCTCAGGCTTCCAAACATCGTGACAGCTGTATCGTACAGTTTTTCCTGGAGAGCATGTATCCAGGTGTACAGCGTGTTTGTCACGGTGGCCATTGAACACGTAAACCTGAAACAAAAGAAAAACTGTCAGTAGGTAAGGATAATGAAAATAAACAAATTTGTATATTATTTTGGAAATTGGTTAAATTCATACCTGTGTGATAAGTGAATATCAGATAGGTTCAGCCTCAATTTGACCAATGTCATCAGCAGCTGTTGCTTGATGGTCAGTTGACCCACCACCCAGCCATGGTAGTATGAAATACTTCCCTATAAACAAAATTAACAAAGAATAACAAATATGAATTTTAGATAACGCAAATAACAATGTCTTACCTTAGAAAACATAGCCGCCAAATTGAAAAAAGCTTCGGCATTCGGTATGCCTGTGTATAACCTTACTAGCGTGTCATTTTGTTTCAAATTATGTATAGACATGGGCAATATTAATAATTTCTCTAAGTTCTTTTGTAGAATTTCAGGGTGGGCCCTAAGTGCCCGGAGCTCGTTAGATGATAGACATTCTAACTTGGCGTAACTGCTTGTCGAGCTAGAAATGTTGAAGTAATTATAATTAAGATTATAAGAGTAAAATCTTATTTAAAATTTTTTTTTTTACTTAAGATATAAAATAATATTCAAGAAAACGTATTCAGTTAAATGGTATTTACCTTTTTTGTTCCTGTGCGACGACACATTTCTTGTTCGATACTTCTGTCGGTTTTCTGTAATTTAGATATTCCAGAAAAAAATATAAATTTGACATGATTTATATATAATATGTACTTACTTATGAACCTTTGTAAAGGATGAAGCCGTGTTCAGTTCCAAAGTGGATGAAGTCGATTGATCATCTTTGAACAGACTGCAAATTATTAACGGATATAATTAATTATGCGTACCACATTTAACCAATAGCCTGACAAGCTGGCTTTGAAAAAAAAAATTGCAAAATAAGAATAAAAATTGTTTCCTACCCATCAAGGAATTTCGTTATGTTGTTTTTCCTCCTCACCTCCTCAGAGGTCTCAAAAACTTTCCCGGACATTTCGCTATTTCTTGTTAAAAGTTCAAAGGGAATAGAATGTTAAATCAAGTTCGGTAAAAGTTGGAAAATCAAGCCACGCCCTCTCCCCACCCTTGGAACGAAGTCATGACCCCTACAACGAATCTCCCTTAATCTACCCTTACCTGTATACCCTTCGTTAAAATCAACTGACTCATTAATTATTTATGAATGTTTTTAATACGTAAAAAAATTATGAATGTATAGAAATGCGGATATTTGTTCCATATGTTTGTGTGTATGTTTAGCTACCAGTAAAGAACGAGTATTTTAACTAATCGGCATTGCTATTCTGAGTGGATTCTGAGTTTTGTTATCGTTAGAATAAAAAGATCCGAGCTATATTAAAAATAAATACAGTTTATAATATTTGTTCCTTTAATTGGACGAGATCTATGACCGGTTGTTGGATTTTTGAACATATAGTTAACTAAAACTTATAGTTAACTAAAACTTATAGTTAACTAAAAAAGAAATACAAATAAAAATACCCTAAATTAAATGACAGAAATGGACATCTTATTTTTTTGTGTGGTGATTAGTGACCGTTAATCGATAATTATTCAGAAATCGTGAGATACGGTCTAGTGTGATGTAGGTTTCAGAAAAACATTTTCTTTATCGTGCCAACGTTTCGATCTTTATTGAGATCATCTTCAGAGCCTGGGATTTACAAACATTGTTTACATTTAACAAATGCATTTAGGATGTGAAAAAGTGAATTTATACAATGCAAAAGATCGAAACGTTGGCACGATAAAGAAAATGTTTTTCTGAAACCTACATCACACTAGACCGCATCTCACGATTTCTTAATAATTATCTTATTTATTATTTGTACAATAAAAATTAAATTTTTCTATCTACTCGTATATACTCCTAGTGTATATTGCGTAATGAATGGAGCGTAGAGAATATGAGCACTCCAAAATCTCTACAGGTCACATGTCGACAGAGTGAAGCAACCGAGGTGAAACAAATGAATATCATCCAGAATTGAACCCTGCCAAAAAGTGAAACATTGATTCAATGGAAAGACAGTTGCAGAGAGAGATACCCAGAACCCGTTTTAATCTATATGGTCGAGGTTAGATGAGAAATGTTACAACTTATCTTAAATAACTACCGCAGTTCACATAAGCAAAGCACAGTAATTTTTTGATATTCAAAAAAGGCTGACAAAATATTAAACTCTTTATATTTAAAGGAGGACAAATGGGTAGACACAAGAATACGAGAATCATCACTCGATTGTTATTTTTACGCTTGTGGTTTAGTTCAAGAAAAATTTTGAATGCATGAAAATAAACATTTTCAAATGGATATCCGGTGATAAAAAAAATAATTCGGCGATTATACTCAATTTCAAGTCTTTCAGCTCCAACCATATTATAATCTCCAATTATAATCACACATAATATTTATAAATTATATCATTTTTTGATCACTTTTCCGATCGTTTTGTTCTCAGATTTGATGATGGTAGAACAAACCAGCCACCATGGACATACCGAAGTCTTTGGAAAGGATGTTATACACATAAACAGTTTATGTTCTTTTCAACTACATATGGACACGAAGCTAAACGTATTCTGAAGGACATCGCCAGCAATGAGAAGAAACTGGCATCGGCTATCAATCAGAGAACTTTTTTGTTGAAATGCAGACAACACATGGTATTCCCTACTCACATCAAAAACAATTTTAACTTCACAAATGCCACACTAACACAGGTAAACACCAGAATTAATGACATACATAAAGCCACAACAAATTTCAAAAGAAACATTTTGAACATAGAAATCGCCACGAGCATCAAAAATATTAAGACATTAACACAAAAATTACACCAATGAAAACTCAGTGCCGTCAACATAATACCTACAGACATTTTAAAAAAATTTACACACATCAAAAAGAAGAATACAATGTCCATTTGGACCAAATTAAAAACCAACACATCAAAAAATTGAATAACTTAAGCAACAAACAAACACCTGTTAACACAAACAAATGGTTCCTAAACCTAACCAAAATTAACATTCCTTCAGAAATCCAGAACTTCCTATCACTTGTAAAATGAATTTATACAATGATAGAAATTTTAGATGCAATCAAAATATTTGCACTCAATCAAAGTGCTGTTTTCTGTGTAGATGTATCATTACTGTGTGTCGTATTGAGAGTGCCTGTGAGATATTGATGTTTTATGTTTATATACGTTGGTTTTTGAAGGAGTGGGAAAGGATGGAGAGATAGAAATTCATTTTACAATGAGGAGTGTTTCTTTGAGGTCAAAGGACAAATGGTTCAAGAATGAGACTATGTAGAAATGTTTGATGTGTGGAATGTAATGATTATATATTGTTATTAATGGTTATATATTATTTATATGTTATATATTGTATTATCAAACATTTCTTCATAGTCTAATTATTCAACAATTTATCTCTCCTCTTCCTAATTATCCCCGTCTATAACAATCCTGAAAAGCTAACCAGGCCGTACGAAAAACCATTACACATTTTTCCCATTTTCGTGGATACATATATATAATTGTAAATTTCCGTGGAATAAGTTGTGGGGGTTGTAGTTTGTGTATGGGGTGGGGAAAGATGGAGGGTCTGTGTATATGGCGATAGGGGAGGGATTTGAGGGCGTGTCGTGGCCACATAAAACTGACCTTCCGGCACTCAGGGGTCTTAATATCCAGTTCGCACTCGACGCTTCTGCAAACATCAATCATATCAAAATCATGGCCAGCTACATTTCCAACACAGCCGAAGAAATGAGAAGGAAGACCAACATTTCGAGATTCCTTGAGGGGTGAGTAACATTTTTACGAAATATTTTAAATTTAAACTAACTCAACAAATTTCACAATGCTACGGATAGTCGTGTCCTATGTGCGCTGTATACTTATTCGAGGTTAATTTGAATTTCAGACTCTTGGATGAAGATAGCAGCGATGTGTGCGGGGATAGATATTCACAATACACCAGCTCCGAAAAGTAAGTGTTGCTGCCACTAATGAAACACACCGGACTTAAATATATTAATAAGAAAATTTTTCTCTCTTTATTTATTTTTAGCGAACCCAGTAAGATAGATCGCGAGTTTTCACCACTCCACTATCTTCCGGAGAATGAGCTGAACGCTTATAAAGAGTATCCTGGGCTTCTGGAAGCAAACAAGAAGAGTGTATTGAAAACACCATTTTCAATACACAACATAAAACACAACGATACACTCGTGCAGATTTATACCGGAATACCGGCGGCCAAGGGATTTTTCAATTTGGCCAACAGGTTTACCAAGGTAAAGCATTCAGCATGTATTATTAATGCGTTTGTTGTTATTTCAAGATAATTTATTTATTTGTTATTTTTCAGAATGGTGTTAAATATTACAGAGGCTGGGTCGTCGGCCAATTGTCGATTAAGCAACAGCTGCTGATGACGTTGATGAAACTCAAGCTCGGCATGGACGACATCCACTTGTCACATAGGTATGTTAGAAAGAACCTATTTTTCTCTAGGGATACAATAATTTTTTATCACTGAAAGCAATGCACTGATTTATTTTGTTTCTAATTGCAGATTTAACTGTTCCTTGGAGACTGTGACAAACACTGTTTTTACTTGGTTGCTCGCTATCCATCAAAAATTGTTTTACGCAATTGTAAAAGATTTTGGTGGACAGAGGCCTATCACAGATCCAGTGTTGATGGATGCGGTAACTCTCCATATGAAAGGGCCAAGGAATCCTCACCTTCCTCATAAGACGCCGTTGGAACCCTACACAGCTCTAATCGTCGCCAGGACTGATGGAGTGGTTATCTACGCAGGCGACTTATACCCTTGGACAAGTGACAAAGTGGATGTCATAGAGGAGAGTGATTTCTTCCAAAGTCTCGAGGAAGGAAACGTCATCTGTCTGGACAACGATGTGTCCACCGACTTGGATATTCCTGATGGCGTCTTCGTTCTGTCTTTTGATGTCGGATGCGGTGAACTGAACGACATTCGAAAAGACTTGGAAAGGCGGATGAGTGAATACCAGGCATTCCGATGTATACCCCCCGAACTGGAAGGGTATGCCAATGTAGTCTGGCAAGTTATAGTCGCTCTCACCAACTACAGTAAATTTAAAGCGTTTATGGCTTGAGGTACGTTTATTTCTTACAGTACAATCGACTATCTATGTTTATGTACATTACCAATTACCTTTCATTTAAATGATCTACAGGTTTAAGGTGCATCGAGAGACATGCCGAAATACGGTGAATAAAATTGACCAAGTCACCTTCCTGACTCTTCGAAACTGCCGTTAGCAACATGGAACGACGAGGATCGATTGGGTACGTATCAAACTATTATCAAATTTAAAGTAATATGAATATGCTTATTAATGTGCTTTTACTTATGAATTTCAGCAATTGATGAAGATCGTTATATGCATAGCTTGACATGCCGAAATACGGTGAAAGAAATGACGGAGAAAATAGTTCAAGATTGACGAGAAGGAGACCGTTCAAAATTGGAGTTTTTCATTCAAGCGAAGAACGAAGATCAAGACTTTTCACCCTTCATTTAATAACTTATATTTGTAATATATATCTCATGTAATAAGAACAGTTTCCTAAACAAATGTGGGCTTTTTATTTTACCTTTGTGTAATTATTCAAGGACATCCCATTAATTTTTAAAGCAAGAGTGGGCTTTTGTGAAAAAGTCACAAATACAAATAAATATAAATTAAAATGAGATTATTATTTATACCTTAAATCTGACCTTATACCTTAAGAAACCATTTAAAATACCTGGACATATTGGGTTCGAATTTAGGGCCAATTTTTGTGGTTTGATAAAATTCTCCAAAACAGCTGAAAGTCATTTAGTGAGATTAAAATTTATTTATCCATTTATTACCTACTAGTTGTACTCTCGGAGGACTTAGGTTTCCTTAGCAACGAGCACATATACGACAGGATTCTTCTAACCTGTCTCTTTATCACGTTCCTTAAATCTTATAAGATTCATGTTTATAGATACATATCTGTACAAAACTCCATTTCAAGCAGTGTGTGAAATTCTAGTTGTATGCAAAAAATTTTGGTTTCTCAATACAAAAATCATATTAAACTTTCATCGAAGAAAAACCAAACATTATGATTACTTGTTTTAGTGAGAGTACACTGAATATTGATTTACACTCACTATATTGCAATGCACGCATCCATTAATATTTAAAATGTCTGTGCTTGACAGTTTATTTATTTTTTGATTTTATTTTTGTTATTAATCAACAAGAAGCCACATGTAAAGATGTGCTATGAAAAATAGCACGATTAAGGAAGTGAATAAGAAGGCAGCAACGGTTTAGGCGGTGACACGGCGCTCAAAGGTCCCGGGTTCAAATCCAGCGGCCCTGCATTCACACCCGTCACGATTGCACACGGCACCCTGATGGTTGATATGACCTCTGATGTTGCGAACCCTCGTAAAAAAAATCATCCCAGATACTGGTGCGGGAATAAAAGAAATCTTAGCTTTTCAAAGATATCTAATTAAATACAATACAAGCTCAAGTGGTAGAGCAGCGGCATATCTAGCCGAAGATCGTGGGTTCGAATCCCACTCGTGCCATTATCTTTTTTTCATCTCAACTAAAAACCTTAATTAATTGTCATGTATTAATTGGCCAAGCGGACCACGAAAGTAGTAAATTAAATACAATGTTATAGTTTATGAATACAAGTCGAAGGGTAGAAAATGTTTGTATGAAGGTACAAACAATTCGGCTCATTACACATTAAATTTGCTGCATCATAATAATCATTACAGTGTAATAACTAATTTAGTTTCCAACATGTACATATAATATATTATCTAACCATTAAATAAGTAAAATTAAAAAGCATATTAATTTCCGTTGAATGTTGCTCGAGGTGGGGTGGGGTAGTTGGAGGCTCCCTGGTATGTGGCGATAGGGTGGGATTTGAGGGCGAACTGAACTGATAAAACCTCCAAATGCGACTACTACAACATAATAATGATGAATTAATTAAATTAAACGAAATTTTTGTCATATTTTCCAAATCGTTCCCCCTTCTTGATATTATATATACAACAATACATAAAGTTAAACTAATCAACAATGGGTAACACCTCCAAGGGTACTGACTTTTCATTGTCATCAATTGTCTGTTGGGTGACACTGTCCTGAAACTCAAATGTGTTTTTAACATTATAAGTTTTATGAGTGTCTATTTGATTTATAATATTTTCCAAGTATTTTGAAGGTCCATAACCTAGGGATCCTATCCTTGACAATCTTGGTCTATATGGCACATTGCCTTTGGTAACCAATACATTTTTGGGCCTAGAGCATTAGAACACTTAAACATTATCTTTCTGCTGAAAATAATCACCTTATGCAATTGGCCAATATGATTGTTGCATTTCTTTTCTTTGAATTTAGTGCGGGTTTTATTAAATGTTATTTATATTTTATCAGACAACAATTCTGACATCTCACTGAAATAATGTTCCTTGTTTACAATTTCTTATTCCCTTTGTCTGCTTTGGTTACTACTAAGTGATTGTTTTCTTTGAAAAATCTGTTGGTTTATTTAACTGCAACTAAAATATCATTTTCATAATTGGATTTTCTGTTATTGTCAACTTGTATTGTTTAACAAGTGTCTAATATCCATTCTATTTGAGTCACATAAATAAATTTGTAAAAGGTTTATCTTTGGCAATTGACCAGAAATGGAAAGTGACAAGTCAACGGCCAATAAAAGAAAGGAATCACCGTCATAGAAAGAAACTCCTAAATTTTTAAAAAGGCGTGACCATGTATTTACACAAATATCTTTATATTTCATATATTTTTTATTTTAAACTATTATTTTTTTAATATATTAAAAAATAGTGTCTAATTTGTAATGCAACGATTTAGAGCGGTGTTCTTTACGCAATCAGTAAAAGAACAGGTTTTCTCTCTCCACGGCAGTGAATTCATTCTTCTATTTATACTGAATTTAAACAAGTATTCAGTGTACTTTCACGAAAAACGTTTAATCATAATATTTTAGAAGGATAACAAATGTTTATATCGTTTATTTTACGATTGTTATTGAAATTTGTTATATTCATACAGTAAATTTTTTTAAAGTATAACTCAAAAAACTGAAAGGTAATTCATGTAACGTGCTTGGATACAGGGACAGATTATGTACAAAACCGAAAGAAATCCAAACAGGGAAAACATAAGCAATTTAGTTTCCAACTTGTACATATAATATATTATCTAACCGTTAAATAAGTAAAATTAAAAAGCATATTAATTTCCGTGGAATGTTGCACGGGGTGGGGTGGGGGTAGTTGGAGGCTCCTTAGTATAGTGCGATAGGGGTGGGATTCGAGGGCGTGGCGTGGCCACACAAAACTGACCTTCTGGCATCAAGAGGTCTTAATATCCAGTTCGCACTCGACGCTTCTGCAAACGTCAATCATCTCAAAATCATGTCCAGCTACAATTCCAACACAGCCGAGGAAATGAGAAGGAAGACCAACATTTCGAAATTCCTTGAGGGGTGAGTAAAAATTTTATGCAATATTTTAGATTTAAACAAACTCAGATTTCTATTAGACATTGCTGTGGATAGTCGTGTCCTATATACGCTATATACTTATTCGTGGTTAATTTGAATTTCAGACTCTTGGATGAAGATAGCAGCGATGTGTGCGGGGATAGATATTCACAATACACCAGCTCCGAAAAGTAAGTGTTGCTGCCACTAATGAAACACACCGGACTTAAATATATTAATAAGAAAATTTTTCACTCTTTATTTATTTTTAGCGAACCCAGTAAGATAGATCGCGAGTTTTCACCACTCCACTATCTTCCGGAGAATGAGTTGAACGCTTATAAAGAGTATCCTGGGCTTCTGGAAGCGAACAAGAAGAGTGTATTGAAAACACCGTTTTCAATACACAACATAAAGCACGACGATATACTCGTACAGATTTACACCGGAATACCGGCGGCCAAGGGATTTTTCAATTTGGCCAACAGGTTTACCAAGGTAAAGTACTCAACATGTATTATTAATAATTTGTTGTTATTTCAAGATAATTTATTTATTTGTTATTTTTCAGAATGGCATCAAATACTACAGCGGCTGGGTCGTCGGCCAACTGACAATTAAGCAACAGCTGCTTATGACCTTAATGAAACTAAAGCTCGGAATGGACGACATCCACTTGTCACATAGGTATGTTTGAAACAACACCATTTCTCTTGGGATACCATCTTTTTCACCACTCTAAACAATGAAGTTATTTATTTCGTGTCTAATTGCAGATTCAAGTGTTCCTTGGAGACGGTGACAAATACTGTGTTCACTTGGTTATTGGCTCTACACCGTGTGTTGTTCCGTGTAATTGTAAAAAATTTTCGTGAACAGAGGTCTTACAAAGAGCCGGTGCTGGTGGATACAGTGACTGTTCATAGGAAACCGCCAAAGAACCCACACCTTCCACACAAGGCGCCGTTGGAACCCTTCACGGCCCTTATTGTCACCAAGACTGATGGTGTGGTCCTCTATGCAGGCGACCTGTACGCATGGATCAATGCCAAAGTGGATATAATAGAAGAGAGTGACTTCATTCAAAGCCTTCAACCTGGAAACGTTGTCGCTTTCGACAGCGATGTAACTGGCTTCGTGGATATTCCGGATGGGGTTTTTACTCTGTCCTTTGACATCGGCTGTGGCGAATTGATGGCAACTCGTAAAGATGTGGAAAGGCGTTTGAGAGAATACCAGGCATTCCGATGTATACCCCCCGAGCTGGAAGAGTATGCGAATGAAGTCTGGCAAGTCGTAGTCGCTCTCACCAACTACAACAAGTTTAAAGCATTTATGGTTTGAGGTAAGTTTATTTCTTACAGTGCAATAAACGATGTATGTTTCCGAAGTGGTCAACTTACTTTTCCTTTATATGATCCACAGGGTGAAAACATAAGGAGAGACATGCCGAAATACGGTAATAAAATGGACTGAGGCTGTCGATAGTGATATCGTCGGTACGTATCATAACAAAGCTATTATAGTCTAAGTAAAACTAATTTCTTTATTAACGTGCTTTTAATTCTGTTTTCTAGCAATAGTTGAAGATTGTTTCATCAACCTGACATGCCGAAGTACGGTGAATAAAACTAAGCCACCTTCGGTATTCTCTACGACGATTGGATAATTCTTCGAGATCGCTATGACAGCAACCGACGATCGGTCGGGTACGTACTGTAACTCAGTCATTATCAATACCCAAAACTAATATTCTTATTAATGTGCTCTTTAATTTTCAGTTCGAGAGAGTAATTTTGAGTTGAGTGATAGTTGAAGATTGTCAAGATAAGAAAAAATTTCAAGATTTTTCACCTATTATGATATTTGTAATATTATCTTATATTTCTAATACATATCTCGACAATAAATATATTTTTCTTAATCAAATCGATGTGTTTGATTTATTCATTTTTATTTTAAGTCGGGTAAATAGATTCGAAAAATGATAAGTTTTCAAAATGAG